GGGAGTGTATGCTTTCTTTTATGTCCACCACTTCGGGGCGGGACCCTGTGACAGCTCTCCCCTGTTCCCAGGCTGAGTTGAGATGGGGCTACGTTTCCCCCCAGCTGGTCTGTGTGAGTTAAGGAAGCCTTGCCCTGCCACCCACGCTGCCACCCACCCACCCCTCACCTCACCTCTCTCCAGCTCACCCAGCCTTTGTCATGTTGTTTTTCCCCTAGAGGTGCAGGTTGCCTAGGTGATTATCCCTAGTCAGCAAGGCCCCCCATGCAGAGGCCCCAAACCCATGATGAGCATCTGCTGTGGGGACCACTGTCCTCAGGGCCCGTGTGACCCCTCACAGTAGTCCTGAAGGGAAGCTCTATTGGTATCCCCATTTACAGCTGAAAAAACAGAGGCACAGACTTGCCCAAGTGACCAGCTACTGAGTGACGGGCACACAGGCGACACACATCTCCTGTCCTAACCCGCCCCTCCCAGCGGAGCCTCAGCGACCTCCGGGCTCTGGGTGCAGCGGCCGAGGCTCCCTGTGCAGCTCACGCTGGGCCAGCGCCCACCTTGGGCTCTCCCGGTCTTCATCTCCTTCAGAGATCCCCACCTTTTCCTCTTTGTCTCCAAGCTTCTGGGCAGGCCAGGGCCTGACCCTGGAATCTCAGCCCAGCCACAGATGTCTCCCGGCCGCAGGGCATAGAGACCGGGGCTGGGAACCGCGTGGCTTCAATCTGGCTGATGCAAAACAGCCCTGAGAAGACAGAGTCAAGACTGTAAGGTTCAGATAAGAAGAGTCAGGAAACAGATGTGGTTTCTATTTGGCTTCTGTCCTCAAGCGGAGGGGAGGGGAGGAAGGCAGGGGAGGAGAGGGGAGACCAAGCCTTGGGCGGGTCCCAGCACCCTATGTCCGGGCTGTGCTATTCACTTTCTCAGCTGCTCTGAGTTGTCGCTGGTCACTGATGTGGACTCAGAAGGCCTCCCCCTGCAGTCCTGACACAACTCAGACAGCACCTACCCGGAAGTGGCTTTTCAGGTCAGTTCCAATTAGTTAACTCACCTGTCCATCCAGCAAAGGTGTAATGAGCATCAGTTAGGCAGCAGTAGGTTACAACGAGAGCGAATATTCGCCTCTCCGTGCCAGACGCCACTTCAGTTGTTATCTATGTTGACTCACTTCGCCGACACTTTTCAGATGAGAAAACCCAGGGGAAGAGGGACAAAGTCGAGGTTTGAACACAGACTGTGAGTCCGTGCCTGCCCACCATGACAGGCTGCCCGTGACAGCCATGACCAACAGTGGAATGCTAGCGTGTTCCCAGTGCCTCAGGTCAGTTGCTGCAGAGAATCCTGTGTGGTAGACATGAAGCAGTCCCCTGTGCATGAGCAAAGCAGAGCCCGCTGGGATTTGAGCCTGGGCTCGTCGGCTGGCCCCCAGAGTCGTCTCTGGCCACGGGATAGAGGCTCAGGCCTGCCCCCCAGGCTCCCTGGGCCAGAGAAAAACAAGTGTACAAGTAACTGAGTCCTGAGGGGGTGAGCACTGTGCAGGGCCCATGGTACACGAGACGCCCTTTCTGCCGACCTCGGTGGATCACAGCAGATGGATGGTCAGCCCGCAGGACTGCTGAGTTCCTGAGGCATCCCTGCTGTCAGTGCGGGCCAGCCAGAGCTCGCTTAGGCAACCACAAGGCCACAGTCAGGGATGGTGACGGAGCCATCGGGGGAGGGTGCAGCCTGGCTGCAAGCGTTCAGCCCAGCACTGACCGAGGGCCTGCCCAGTTGGGTGCAGGGGACAGTGGGCGGGGCGGGACAGGCAGGGTCCCACCCCCAGGAGGGGAGATGCTGGGTGAGTAAATGGAGAAGGACCTGACCGTGCGGGTGTGCTGGACGTCAGGGCCTCAGGCTGATGGCGCCCTGGGCAGGGGTCAAGTGGTCAGCCAGGCCAAGCGGGGCCTCTAGGGCCCAGATAAGGAGAATGGGTGTTTTTGGGGGTGCTAGAGGGTTTAACTGAGAAGAATGACATGATCTGTCACATAAAGACGAAGCCACCCTGGCCACTGTGTGGAGATGGCCTGTGTGGTGGCCGTGGAAGCCGAGGCCAGTGAGGATCGGGGCATGTGAGAGACGAGGTGGCAGCTGAGGGGCGGGTGGAGAGGGAGCGGAGGGGACCAGTGGCATCAGGTCTGAGAAGCCCCCGGGTAGGTGGTGGGGCAGTTTGCCGGTGGGGTCAGAGCTTGGTCCTGGATGGTGGGTGTGGAGACCAAGGAGGTTCAGTGTTCCCCGAGCTGCACTGTCCAGCGCTGTGCTGGAAGCTGGAGGGTGGAGCTGGGTTGGACCCATGGACACGGGTTGCCCCTGTGAAGGCCACGGGAGTTGGGAGAGACACTGTCCCAGGTGATGGGCTGTGCCTGGCATGCTCCTCCCCTAGACAGCACGTGAGAAAATGACGGGTCATTTGCTAGTTCAGTGTAGCAAACATAATAAGTCAAGTGCATGGGACCCATGAGGGATAAATCATTTAAAAGATGGGGGCGTGGTTCTCCATGGGTCCTAGCAGATGTGAGGACACCTGCCCAAGGCCACATAGCTCCAACCGCTGCTGTTTTGTGATTGATGAAAGGTTTTCAAAAATGAGTCAGGACCTTTTCAGTTGCAAGTGACATAGAAACCCCATGTAAATTGATACACCCTGTAAAAAGCAGGTGGCGGGGATTTATTCATCCCACGTGTCTATAATCTAGATGTGCTGGCTTGACACACAGCTGGACACAGGGGCTGAGATGATGTAATAAGGAATCTTGCCCCGCCCCACTTTCCCACGTGCCTTCACTGTCAGGTGGGCCCTCCCCATGGGCAGCCCTCCCAGGCCCCAAGCCAGTGTCCGGCCGCCGAGACCCAGCAGAAGGAGGAAGCCCATTTCCCAGAAGCTGAGCCCAAACCTCACTGTCCTGACTTGGGTCTGTATGTGCCCCCTGAACCAAGCGCTATGGTCAGGGAGGTGGAGCCCTCTGATGGGCCAGGTGGGCTTGCTGTACCCACCCTGCAGCGCGGGGTGAGGGGCAGTGCCACCAGACCCTGAGGTCCGAGAGTGGGGGAGGGTGGGTCCCTGACAGGGACATCAAGGTCTGGTATCAGAGAAAGCCAGGGATGGAGGTCCAGCGTCAAGGACCGCGTACGTGTGTTTCATGGTCCGTGGTGTCTGCGCCCGCCCAGCCGGCTTCTGGCTGTGTTCCTTCTGGCGTTGAGAGGTGAGACCGTTGGGTTTGCCTCCGACCTGCGTGAACGCTCCCACTTTGTGGAAAAAGCCACAACCCTGTGATTGGGCTGCAGCGTGAGGCCCACATTTGAGTGGTTGTCGAGCTCTCTCCGCTAGTGCCGAATGGAGGCTGCAACAGTGAAGGTCTGGTGTATGTTTCAGAGAGAGTCTGTATATTGGGGAGACTTCTTCAAATGTCAGGCTATGAATAACTTCTGTGAAAAATTAATCACGACTAGAATAATCTTTTTAGACAACAGATGTATGCTTGAATCTTCTAGATTCTGATTTTTAAAAAAAAGAAAGAACGTGGGTTTATGAATCGGGCGTTGGGCTGGGAAGTGCAGCATCAGCAGGGAAGGGTCCCGTTTTGTGAGCACCGACTCTGGACCAGTCACTTAACGCGGTGTCTCGTTCTTCATGAGCCGTCCTGCTGGAGGGTGGATGTTAACCCCTGGGCTGAAAATGGCTCTTGCTGGATCACGCGGCACTTTGATGCTGAAGGTGGAGTCACACAGGTCAGACGCCCCCATGTGCACACGCCCTCCCTCTGAGCCCGCAGGACAGACCTGGCTTGGAGTCTGCAGCTTTGCATTCTCCTCTTCTCTTCAGCCTGAGCCCTCAGCCAGAAAGTACATTCCAGGGCCGAGGGGGTGTGACAGCAGCCAGAAGGGAGAACTGACCTTGATGACTCAGGACGCACTGAGAGCCAGGACCGCTGGGGAAGGGGCAGGCACCCTGGGCCCTGAAGCCATCGCTGGCGAGGCCCCTGTGGACCGCGGTGAGGAAGCCCGGTCTGAACCTTGCAGGGAGAGGTGTCTCCATGTTTGTGAGCTGCCCGCCAAGAGGGCTGCGGTGCCTGGGCCTGACCAGTGCGGTCTCCTGAATAACCCTCCTCCACTTTGAGCTGTCCCCAGCCCCCCAGGCCTTCTCCAAAACGGATGTGACGCCTCCACCTTCGAGCCTTGAAGTCTGTGTCACCTTAGGCCACTGCCCCTGCTGCCTCCTCCTGGGGTCCTGTGTCCCGTAGAGTCGAGCGCCATAAACAGGGCCGGCGGCATTCACCACTGCAGAGCTGGCTCAGCCGGGCAGGAGGCCTGGACGAGCGGACAGTGAAGGCTCGTCATCGGGTGGTTGTAATGGGGACTGTTCTTGTTCCCTTTAATGCTGCCTTCTGTTTCCATTTAGAGAGTGAATCTGTTAGTTCTTAATAAGCACCTACTAGGGCCGGCTGAGTGGCTCAGTTGGTTAAGAGTTAGCTTAAGAGCGCGAGCTCTGAGCAACAGGGCCGCCAGTTCGATTCCCACATGGGCCAGTGATATTGCGCCTAAGCTGAGCTGCCAACAGGTGGCAGGATGGCTCAGCTGGTGAGAGCACGTGCTCCTAACAAGGTTGCCTGTCCGATGGTGGGCTATGCCCGCCTGCAACTAAGACTGAACTCGGCACTTTGAGCTGAGCTGCTGCCCGGATGGCTCAGTGGATAGAGCGCGCGCTCTTAACAACAAGGCTGCTGGTTCGACTCCTGCATGGGATGGTGGCTACGCCCACCTGCAACTAAGACTGAACACAGCACCTTGAGCTTAGAGGCCACGAGCTGCCGACAGGAAGCCGGATAGCGACTGGCGCCCTCCACAATGAAGACTGAAGAACAACAACTTGGCTGGTCCCCTTGCCCGATTCCCCAACACTGTTTCCCTCCCCCGATTCCCCAATTTAAAAAAAAATTTTAAAAATAAGCACCTACTATGTGGCTGACAATGCTCCAGCCATACCCCACGTGTCCTTGTCAGGCATCTTGCTACCCACTGAAGTGGGGTGTGGCAATGGACGGAGGCTAGGTGTGGAGTCAGGCTTTGCCCCGAGCACTGGTTGCGTAAATCAAAGAAAAGGACGGATAAAAAATGATTTTTCAGAAACCTTTTATTGTTATGCTACCCACTGCCAGTGAGGTATAGAGACATTGGTGGTTACATGACACTTTTGTCAGTTGGGCTAACTTTTTAGAAAGTAAAATACAGCACGAGCCATATGACATTTGGACCCTTGGGCCTAGAAATTCAACTGAAGAACCTATGCTAAGAGAATAACCCCCCCAAAAAAGCATGTATACACACAGAAGGGCTCGTGGCACCGTTTTATAAAACTAAGGAGTGTTGGGAGTAACCTAGTGACCAGACAGAGATGAGAGTGTCCTGAGTATGTCCCCTCAGTGGGGTTTCTGAGCCACTGAAGTGGTCACTTTCACTACACATCAGTGTGGGAAATGGGTTATAACCCACTAGTGTAAATAAATATATGTACCTCAACATGCATGTGCTCTGATTATGACTTCCAAAAACCATGTGTGTGTAGACTACAATCTTACAAAACACTAATTTGGTTGGTTTATTGGGATGCTGGACATGGGGGCTTTCACACCTGAGCCTCAGGGCTTTCTAGAGCTGCAGTGAGCTGAGGGGCGATGGTGGGACTCGATCTGTGCCCCTCGTCCTTCCCGTGACACCCACCAAAGAGACTGAGCTGCTGCTGAACCCCCCCCCCACTGTGCCCCGCTCCCCGGGAGTCCACTGTAGTTGCTTCATCATGGGGGGAGCTTTGTGGGGTCCTCTCTCTCTATTGCCTCTCACACTCCTGATCTGGATTTTCACGTAAGGAGGTGCTCCAGGCCCAGAGCCCATTCCTGCTGTCCTCTCCACTTCCCTTACAAGTGACGAGGACCAGCTTCGTGACATTCTGTTTGTTTTTCCCGTGTTAAAGGGCCCATGAAGGGAGATGTGGAAACCCCCTTTGAAGAAGTCCTGGAGAAGGCTAAGGCCGGGGACCCCAAAGCACAGACGGAGGTGAGGACCGTGGCATCTGGTAGGAGGCGCAGGCCGGAGCCCGCAGCACAGCGGGCCTGGCCCAGAGCTCGGCCATGTGAACCGGGCGTGGGGAGCAGTGTGCCTGGCCCCGTTGTCATGTTTCCTGGTTTGCTGGGTCATTTTCCTCCCGCCACCCCTCTGGGGAGCAGCTGTTCCTCTCCCTTGTCCCCGTCACAGCGGTCTTGGGCCCCACCGCCTCCATGACGCGTGTCCTCGGTACCCCACCCCCACTCTCACCCCCTCTGTGGAGGGGGTGCCAGACCCTCCTCATGGTCTTGTGAGGCGCAAGCTCCAGGAGGATCCAACAGGCTCAACCTTGTACACACGCTAATGGGACCCCGTTCTTGTCACCGTTCTTCTTGGCCTGGGTGGCAGCAGGGTGAGAGGAGGCGGGTTGTCGGGGATCTTGGGGAGGGAGAGGGTCCCAGGTGCCCCAGGTTGCCGGGCTTCGGGGAGCAGGTCAGAGCCAAGATGTGGAGGAGCCCCGCTTCTCGTGGAGGCGGCTGCCGAGCGCGGCTTCCGAGCGCGGCTTCGCGGCGTCTCGTTGCAGGTGGGGAGACACTACCTGCAGCTGGCCAGCGACGGGGACGAGGAGCTCAACAACTGCACAGCCGTGGACTGGCTGGTCCTGGCCGCCAAGCAGGGCCGGCGCGAGGCCGTGAAGCTGCTCCGCCGGTGCCTGGCGGACAGAAAAGGTGGGTCTGGGCCCGCAGGACACGTGCTGCTTGCTCAAGTACAGCTACGACGATGACAACAGGAAAACTAGTGCTGGTGGCGCCATTGAGAAGGAAGTATAGTTTCCACTCTGCCAGTCACTCTGTCATTTAGACAGTGTTTCTGGAGCGCACGTAACGTGGGACATGTAACCAAGGAAGCCATTTTCATTCTTGAGCTTGTGTTGGTGTAGACACCTCCTGGGTTCTCACCTGAATTGACTCCTGAGCCAGAGGAGGTCAGCTTCGTCCTGGCAAAGCTGGAGAGCCTGAAGGCTGCCAGGAGGGGCAGGGCTTTGGGGGGCAGTGAGGCGTAGCCTGTCCGTAGGTGGTCACTCACCACATTATCCTGCCTGCGGGAAGTGGCCGGCCCCTAGTGTCAGGCCGTGTCTGTGACCTACAGAGTGGGTGCCGGCCGGGGCTTGGGCCAGATGTCCTTTCCTGCCCTGGTGACCAGAGGTGCCTGTAAAGCCCTCGCGTGAGCCCCTTCCTAGAGCACCCCAGGCAGAGCGGCACTAGCTTCCAGGCCGCTAACGCCTCCGTCTCGTAGGCATCACCTCTGAGAACGAGCAGGAGGTAAAGCAGCTGTCCTCCGAGACCGACCTGGAGCGGGCCGTGCGCAAGGCAGCCCTGGTCATGTACTGGAAGCTCAACCCCAAGAAGAAGAAGCAGGTGGCCGTGTCTGAGCTGCTGGAGAACGTCGGCCAGGTCAACGAGCACGGTGCGTGGCCCTCCGGCGGGTCCCGGGCCTTCCCCTGGGAAGGTCTTCCTGCTGGAACTCCGGGGGCTTCCTTGTGGGAGCTTAAGTAGGGGCCCCCTGGAACCTTCTTGTGGGGATATCATGGGTCTCCCATAAGGCCTAGGTAGGGCCATTCCTGGGGCATCCTCCTGTTCTTGGGGTTCCCTTCCTGGGGCTCATGTGGTGCCCCTAAAAGGTATGCTTGATGTGGCAGAGCTGGGGCCACCCCCTGTGGAGCCCCAGAGACCCCCTACAGTGGCCCCACCTGGCCCCCACCTGCTACCCTCTCCCCTCTGTCACAGAGCCCCTCCCCTCCTGCTGTCTCTCTCTGCCCTCCTGTCTGTGCCTGCCTGACCTGCCCTGCAAAGGCACGCCTCAGTGGGTGGCACCCAGGACTAGCTCAGAGAATGCTTGCCCAGCTGGGGTGTGGCGGGTGGCTGGATGTTGACAAAGGACAGGATATTTCAACCCTGGCTGTGTTCATTCATTGAACAGACTCCAGCACGGGGGCTGGGGACACGGGAAAGGCCTGGCCCTTATCCCTGGGGAATTCACAGTCTTTTCCAGGGGAAAAATCACACCAAGGGCAATGCCAGCAAAGGTGTTTGGGGACAGGTTACACTGACCACAGAGCATGGTGTGTCCAGTGCTCTGGTTGTGTCCGTAGAGGGGATGGGAGTGCCCTGCAGGGTGTGGAGTCACCCTAGTGGGTGGAGGCCAGAGGTTACTGTCCAGAGGAGTGGCCCTTGCAGTATCCATCAAGGGGTGTGTGGAGACCTGGGGTCCCCAGAGCTCAGGGACACCCCGTAGGAGTGCATGGGCTGCGAGTATGAGGGGACAGTCGACCTGCCTTGATCCTCAAGCTACTCTGTCCCCACAGATGGAGGGGCACAGCCAGGCCCTGTCCCCAAGTCACTGCAGAAGCAGAGGCGGGTGCTGGAGCGCCTGGTCAGCAGCGAATGTGAGTACGGCCGCCAGTCCTCTGCCCACCACAGCTTTGGCCATGATGTCGCGCCCACCACACTGGGCACAGCGTCCACTCCTTGCAGAGCCTGGGCCTGGACTCCCCGCCCAGGTTCTCGGAGGCATGATGGTTTTCAGTCCATTCCATTTGGGGCTGTGGTTTGGGTGTCAGTTCTGGGCTCTGTGACTGGACCCTCCCCTTTGGGAGCCCACGCTATAGCAGGAAGGCTGACGCGGGTGGAGAGTGGCAGCATGACAGTCCCCGTGGGACAGAGAACCGCGAGTGTGGGCATATCCAGGTGCCTGAGCCAGTCAGCAGGAGTGAGGAGGCAGCTAGCCGGTGAAGGGAGAGAGAGGTGGGGCTCCCCGCGGGGGAGCGGGGGCTCTGCACCCGGCATGGGCTCTAGGAAGTAGGGACGTAGGGCCGAGCTTGGTGGGGGGAAAGGATGGAGGTTTGGGGGCTCAGGGAGCTGGGCTGCCTTTGGGACACCCAACTGGAAGAGACCATCAAACCTCCGGGTGCAGCTGCGCACCGCGTGGGTGGGCTCTTGGTATCAGTGCCCCGGGCCCCCATCCCGGAGGAGACACACGGGTCCCCCCCTCCTGGCTCTGTCACTCCTCACGTGACATCAGGCCGGTCTCGTTTTTCGCTCTGGGTGTCAATCTCTCCCTCTTACACATTAGAGGGCCAAAGGACCCCGCCAGTGCCCAGGGCTTCTGTTGCATCGGGGGGACAGGGGACATCAGACAGAGGGGACACACATCCACCTTCCTGCTGGGCTGGAGTCTATCTGGAAATGTCAGAGCTGTGGTGACATGGAATCCTGGCCGTCTGGAGGCCATGGGCAGACGGGGGCACAGACTGCCCTTGCCCCGTTCAGGGGAGGCACAGCAGTGTATCTCCAGTGTCCTTGGTGCCACACTGGACATTCCTCTTAAGTGTCGTCACACGGTTTTCCTGTCTCCCAGCACTCTGAACATTGGAGTCACCCCAGGGACCTGTCTTTAGACCCCCGCTATGTCCACACTCCCCTTCTGGGTGGCCAGTCTCATGGTGTCCGATGCCATCCACAGCTCCACATATAGCCCTCACCAGGCCACTCAGCCCCATGTGGCCACCCCGCAACAGCCAGCCACGTGGCCTCACCCCAGCTCTTATAGTGACCACTGCATCTGGGGTGCTGTCCTTGAATCCTGACCCCCGAATCAGTGAGTGCCCCCTTCTCCACGCCCCGCCCCATCCCGCCCCGTCCGGTGGTGCTCGCTGTGGTCTGGACACTGTTTCCTTTGTTGTTGCTGCTGCTTTGCTGTGTTCTGTGGTCAGCTTGTGTCCCCAGCTCTTGGAACACAGCCCCCCCCCACCCCCCACGGAGGCCTCAGAAAGCACCTGGTGAACAACAGACGAGGTGGGGCCGGGCCAGCTGTGCATCCGGCAGCCTGTCCAGGATGGGGACGGCTTGTGTCCCTTCCCTCCCCCGCCTCCTGGAGCACCACGTAGACGTGGCTCTCGGGCCGTCCCGCCGCACTGGGTGTGATGCCCCACAGACTGAGAGCCCAGACTTGGGCACACGCTGGGCTGCTCCCCTGTTCCAAGCGTTTCCCAGTGCTCAGGAAAGTGCCCAGCACGTAGGAGGACCTTAGTGGTGCGTGTTGAATGGAGGGGTCCAGTGTGGCGGTGAGAAGCCAGGGCTGAGGGAGAGAAGGTGGCAGAGAGGCACTGGCAGGCAAGGTGGTTAAAGGGCTGGCATTTGAGCTGGGCTTGGGGACAGCAGACCCTGGGCATGAGGAGCTAAGAGGGAGGGACGCTTTGGGGAGGGATGGCATGTCACCAGTATGAGGAGGTGAGGGTGGGGGTTGGCACTCTGCCCTCCTCCCCATCAGCCTGTCCTCACCCACCCGCCCAGGACAGAGGCGGGCTTCTCAGCCCCTGTCTCAGCGTGGCCCCAGCCACCGTCCCTGCCCTGCCAGTCCACACGGGGTGAGTGTGCTTGGAGTGTGAACCGACCCCGTGCCGTTCTCCCTGTGCTCCAGCCAAGAACTACATCGCGCTGGACGACTTTGTGGAGATCACCAAGAAGTACGCCAAGGGCATCATCCCCACCAACCTGTTCCTGGAGGACGACGAGGACGACGAGCTGGCGGGCAAGAGCCCCGAGGACCTGCCCCTGCGCCTGAAGGTGAGCAGCTGGGGGCACCCACCTGCCCTTCCTGTACTTCCTGGGAAGGGATGGGTGGGAGCCCCCGCCCAGCACGGAGCCTCCTGGGACTTGCCCTGTAAGGACGCATCCTCATAAAGGGACACTGTCACAGGTACTCAGGCCCCGAAACTATGGGCGCCGTCGGGGATGGCACGCTCGGTGGGTGACATGAGCATGGGCACCCTTCTTGTGTCATTCTCCACAAAACGCTGTGTGGGGTGCAGGGTGTTGGGCACTGGACTCCGACTTTCATTTAGACGTTGTCATCTTGATAAATTGTCCACTTACAGTACAGAATGGAGGTTAGTTCCTCGAAGATGCCTTCCCCCCAAAACTGCTAGCACCCAGGAGACTGGGAGGATCCTGCAAGGACGCCTATTTACCCGCATCTGTGGCGTCTTGGGTTGAGAGCCGGCGGCGGGGAGGGAGGCCAGAGTGGTGAGGAGGTGACCGTACTGGTCTGAAGGAACAAGCGAGGAGCGCACAGCTCATGAGGAGAGCCAGCAGTGGCGGGCAGTCAGGCCCTAGTGTGATAGCTTTTGTTTTCTCGGCCATGTTGCTGAGACTTGGGGTGCACACATGCAGTGTAGCCACACTGCCCTCCCGCAAGTTCACCCCCAGTTCAGCTCATGGGGCTGAATCAGCTGGGCCCTTATCTCACTTTGCAGAGAATGCCAGAGTTTCCAGAAGTCAGGCTCCCCAACCCAGACAGGCCGTCAGCACAGGGACCTGTGGGCAAGTGAACCTTCACTCCACAGCCCAGGCGCTGGTCATCCACGAGCCCTCAGGATCTGCACGTGTCAGCTGGTGGGGACATGTGTGACGACCCTCAGTGTGGTCAAGTGGACAGGTGACTGCTCGGCCCAGCAGTGGTCGTGGAGGGGACAGGAAGTCTGCAAAGCCCCTTGTGCTGGACATAGCTCAGTGTCGGCACTGTGCTAGGAGCCTGGATGTGGTGCTCAGGCCGGGATGCCCTCCCAGGGGAGGCAGATGCAGAGAAAGTGCTACAGGACACACCAGGGCCCAGAGCGGCAGGCATGACGGCCACGCTCAGGACCGAGGAGCTGAGTGAGAGTCCCCAGAGGACAGGTAGCATGTCCAAGGTGATGGTTCTGAGACGCAGGGCCAGGATGGCCGAGGGACTTGACCAAGGGAGGTCATGACTGTTACGGACGGTCCACGCAGAGGCAGGTCTGGGCTAAGCGTGTTCACAGAGATGCTGTTGGTTTCCTTACTAACAGGAGAGGAGGACGGTGAGGTGCTTACCATGGTTATTGTAACTCCCCAAATGCCAGTGAGGGTCAAAGGTGAAAGGGCAAGTTGGAGAAGACCCACAGGTGGCCCTGGCCCGGGTGTCCAAGTTTGCATTGTCCACGCGTAATTGCTAATAACGCCGGCTTTCAGAAGCACCCTGGTTTGGACAGCAAATTATGTCACCCTACTTATGGGTGATGAGCTCGGTGCTGTAAAATAGCTGAAAGTCATTTTTTGGGAAAGAGAGATTTAAAATGTTCCAATAAGAAATAAACAAGGTTCTGTGTTTCCTTTCAGGGTCTGAAACTGTCAGAGCACTTTGATTCCTTACAAGTTTTTCTCATTAAAAGTTGTTTGCAAAAGAGAGAGAATGAATCATAGCAGGCGTCTGAGCACGGAAAGCTGCTCCAGCGTTTAATAGCGTTTCAGAGAGAGAGGGAGGCACTCGGGGGGGCCTTCTGCCCCTGAAGTGACAGATGACAGGCGCCTGTTTGTGAGCTAACGCGACTCCCACAGAATGTTCCAGACTCCAAGCCTTTCTCGAGCCTTTCGTGACAGATGAAAACCTCTTGAAAGGAAATGCTGCAATACAGTAAAGCCTTGGATTGTGAGTAACGTGGTTTGTGAGTGTTCCACAAGATGAGCAAACACTTCTAATACATTTTGACGTAAACGAGCGATGTCTTGCAATACGAGTAGTTTGTCTCCAGAGCGAATTATGCTCGCAAACCAAGGTATTACTGTATTTTAAAATCCTAACCGTTTTTACATGAAATCACTGCAAAGTCCAACATGTGAATGTTTTCGCTTAGGGTTGGGCAGCATCTAGTCTAGAGCGACTTGCTGCCACATGATTAGTTCAAAGCGGCCGCGTTGTCACATTCTGTTCGCTTGCTTTCTCGTGTCAGTGGAGGGGCTGATGACCTCAGACCTGGCCAGAGTGCTCTTTACTGTCCTTTCATAGAACTTGACTCATTTCTTAAAATTTCTTCCCTGGTCAGAGAAGAGTTTGTGTGGACTTTCTCTATAGAAAATGTTTTTAGTCTCACAATTCGGTGGGGCTGCAGAGTAGGGCTTGGACGGGAGCTCAGAGGGCCGAGCTGGGGCCTTCAAAGGAGAACCCCCTGTCCTAGCGGCCCGGGCCCTGCAATGTGCAGGCAGAGGCCGGGCACCTCGGAAATCCTGTTCTAGAAGTTTCATTGTCTCTTAAAAGTCCTCTCAACCATGTGCTTGTGTGGCCTCAACAAAATCAATGCGTGAATGGCTCTGAACATTAGGTGAGGATTTCAGATTAATGGTAAGATGCCAGCTACTGGGCACCTCCAGGCTGCATCCCTCGAGGCTGCTGGGGCTGGTTGGGCACAGAGATAATGATGGTGAGCTGCTCTGGGGCGCCTTTCGTCTGTCCTGCTGTTACGAGGCCCACCTCCGCAGGGCCAGCTGCAGGCCACGGCTGATGCACACATGCACTCATTCCATGGCTGTTAATTTTTAGCCTGCTGGTCCGGCTCCGTTCTGAGGGGGCCCCTCCCAGAGGAAGCCTGGAGCAGGTTCGCTCTCACAGACGCTTCTTTGCTTTCTGACAAGTGTCAGAAATCCCCACCAAGGCTAACCCTGTGGTGCCAGATACTACCCACCGCCATCTCCACTCAGGTGTGGGCATGTGCCACCCATACAGAAGGCTGCTGGCCCCAGGGAGCTGGGGCGGCCATCAGCTGGTATCATCGTTTGTCATTTTCTTGCTTGTTCTCAAACAGCGAGTCGGTGGGCTGTCACAAACATACAGAAGGAGGGTAGTTCTTTGCACATACACGTGTGTAGCTATACAGCCTCCTTTATAAGCCCACCCCCCATCTGCGGAGAACTACACGCCTGCTTGCTTCCCGGTGTCCTGCTCATCTTAAGGTGATAGGCTCTCGGGCAGACAACAGCCCCATCCCAGTGTTGTCGCTCTGTTGTGCTCACCCAGGATCCTTCCTCCTCGGGCCCGCAGCGGGGTGGGCAGCATGGAGGTGGAGCTGCCTACCTCACCCGGACACTGCTGGGGGCTCCATCACGCAGCCAGGCTTCCCTGCCCCCACACATGGTCAGTCCCTCTGAGGATCCACTGCCCGGTGTGATCTGACCCAGGCCCCTCCAGACACACCCAGACCCCTGCGCGTCTCCCCGCCACAGTGCGTGAGGACTGGCACCGTCCATGTTCCCGTTCTACCCGCTCCAGCCTCTCTCCCCTCTCCCCCGAGCCCTGGCAGGGAATTCTGCAGGAAGCCAGGCGGGTGTGGGGGTCCGCCCTGGATGGCAGAACCGCCTCCCACATTCCCAAAGCTGCTCCCCAATTCACCCCCCTCAGCCCTTCATCCGTCCTTTGCTGTGGCCAAGGCCAAGGGTTACCGCCGCCATTTGCAATGGGTGGAGGTTGGGGGAGTGGCGCCCAAGGCAGGGAAGGGGCTGCCTTTGCATGTGGTCGTGTGGGGCCGTGTGTCTGTTCTAAGCAGTACGGGGCGGGTGGTGCAGGCAGCTGGTTCATAGGGTCTCCTGACACATCACACTCGAATCATCTCCATTCAGTAAAGGTGGGCTGAGCCCTGCGCTTCACATCTGCACGGAACGCCCTTGTCTGGAGCCTGTGCTCCTGTTCCCCTCCTGGGACTGTTTAGAGCCCAGCGTGGGCTTGTGAAGCACCACTTCCCATCCCCCTGAGTGGGTGGGCAGCCAAGGCACGGGACACGAGGGAGCTGAGACAGGCCTGGCTCCCACACCGGCAGCCCACGGAGCTGTGCTGTCTACAGCATGAGGCCCCATGGGGAGGGGACTGGAGGTGTCGCAGGGAGACCAGCACACGTGAGTCTAGAAACCGTGGCAGAAGGTCAGGAATTAGGCACGGGCTCCAGGGGCCCAGAGGAGGGGCCCAGGACCCACAGGATTGGGTGGAAGTGAGGGAGGGTCCACAGGGACTGGAGCATGGGGAGGGTGCTCCCACACGGAGAGGGCGTTAACGGGGCGGAGGGCCGCTGCGTCAGAGGGCCCAGCCGTGGGAAAACGGGGGCTGGTTGTCACTCTGCCCAGGGACTCACGCGATGACAGCGAGCAGGGCTCCTGTGCAGGCTCCAGGGCCATCTTCCTCTCTCCCCCCCCCCCCCCCACAGGTGGTCAAGTTCCCCTTGCACGCCATCATGGAAATCAAAGAGTACCTGATCGAGATGGCCTCCCGGGCGGGCATGCACTGGCTGTCCACCATCGTCCCCACCCACCACATCAACGCCCTCATCTTCTTCTTCATCATCAGCAACCTGACCATCGACTTCTTCGCCTTCTTCGTGCCCCTGGTCGTCTTCTACCTGTCCTTCATCTCCATGGTGATCTGCACCCTCAAGGTGTTCCAGGACAGCAAGGCCTGGGAGAGCTTCTACACCCTCACGAGCCTGCTGCTGCGCTTCGAGCCCAACCTGGACGTGGAGCAGGCCGAGGGGAACTTCGGCTGGAACCACCTGGAGCCCTACCTGCACTTCCTGCTGTCTGTCGTCTTCGTCATCTTCTCCTTCCCCATCGCCAGCAAGGACTGCATCCCCTGCTCCGAGCTGGCCGTCGTGTGCGTCTTCTTCACCGTCACCAGCTACATGAGTCTGAGCACGTCTGCCAAGCCCTACACGCGGAGGGCCCTGGTGACGGAGGTGGCCGCCGGCCTGCTTTCCTTCCTGCCCGGCCTGCCCTTCGACTGCCGCTACCTGAAGCTCCTGGGCCAGACCTTCTTCACCATGCCTGTCGGCCACCTCCTCATCCTGAATGTCAGCGTCCCCTGCCTGCTCTACGTCTACCTGCTCTTCCTCTTCTTCCGCATGGCCCAGCTGCGCAACTTCAAGGGCACCTACTGCTACCTGGTCCCCTACCTGGTCTGCTTCATGTGGTGCGAGCTCTCCGTGGCCATCCTGCTCGAGTCCACCAGCCTGGGGCTGGTCCGCGCATCCATCGGCTACTTCCTCTTCCTCTTCGCTCTCCCCATCCTGGTGGCCGGCCTGGCGCTGACAGGCCTGGTGCAGTTTGCCCGCTGGTTCGTGTCCCTGGAGCTCACCAAGATTGCCGTCACCGTGGGGGTCTGCAGTGTCCCCCTGCTGTTCCGCTGGTGGACCAAGGCCAACTTCTCAGTGGTGCAGATGGTGAAGTCCCTGACCCGGAGCTCCCTGGTCAAGCTCATCCTGGTGTGGATCACGGCCATCGTTCTGTTCTGCTGGTTCTACGTGTACCGGTCGGAGGGCATGAAGGTCTACAACTCCACGCTGACCTGGCAGCAGTATGGCTTTCTGTGCGGGCCGCGGGCCTGGAAGGAGACCAACATGGCGCGCACCCAGATCCTGTGCAGTCACCTGGAGGGCCACAGGGTCACGTGGACGGGCCGCTTCAAGTACGTCCGGGTGACGGACATCGACAACAGCGCCGAGTCGGCCATCAACATGCTCCCGTTCTTCGTGGGCGACTGGATGCGCTGCCTGTATGGTGAGGCCTACCCCACCTGCAGCCCCGGCGGGGCGCCCACGGCCGAGGAGGAGCTCTGCCGCCTCAAGCAGCTGGCCAAGCACCCCTGCCACATCAAGAAGTTCGACCGCTACAAGTTCGAGATCACGGTGGGCATGCCCTTCGGCGCCAACAGCACCCGCAGCCCGGAGGAGGACGACGTCACCAAGGACATCGTGCTGCGGGCCAGCAGTGAGTTCAAGGACGTGCTGCTCAGCCTGCGCCACGGCAGCCTCATTGAGTTCAGCACCGTCCTCGAGGGCCGCCTGGGCAGCAAGTGGCCCGTCTTTGAGCTCAAGGCCATCAGCTGCCTCAACTGCATGGCCCAGCTGTCACCCGCCCGGCGGCACGTGAAGGTCGAGCAGGACTGGCGCAGCACCGTGCACGGCGCCGTGAAGTTCGCCTTCGACTTCTTCTTCTTTCCATTCCTGTCGGCCGCGTGAGGACACGTCCCCGGCCAGAGGAGGGGTCAGGGCACGTCACTGTCAGGACCTCTCTCCCATGTGGCCACCCAGCCTGATGATGCTACACTAACAGTGTGTGCATGTGTGTACGCTCGCGTGGGCATGTGTGTGCGCTCGCGTGGGCATGTGTGTACGCTTGCGCGGGCAAATGCAGGGCTTCGGGGAGCTCTCGTCGTGCGCAGTCTGCTCACCTCCACGAACAGCTGACTGCTTTAGTGCTGTCACTTAGAATGGCCGGCATCGTGGGAAGTTGCATGCACAGTCCTGACCCAGCGTCCCTACCTTCTAGAGTGAAGCTGGTGTGCCCAGCTCAACAGGATTCCTGCGTCCTGAGAAGTACTTTGCGGTGACATTCTCCCTCCCCCACTCCCTCCAAGCACTTCTGGCCCCTTACTTACTTCTGTGTTGGATTTGTTTTTTGAACATGCTGCTGTATAAACTCAACGATAACACTTCTTATTTATTTGGTTGCTGCTGCTAAGCCTTGACAGCTGGTTGCCAATCCTGGGGGGCTGTGCACAGCTGCCTGAGCTGTCATGTGGTCAAGGCCCCATCCTTCAAGATCGGAGGCCGGGAGAAGTGGCCGCCCTGGGCACAGGTGTCCACACTGAGCACGGGGCCCGCAGCTCGCCTCGTGCTTGTCTAGTGGGTGGTGGGTGAGTTTGTGAGGGTCTCGCCTGAATCCACTGGGATTAGGAAATAGAACCTGGGCCATCCCTTCCAGTGCTTAGAAAGTTGGCCACGTTCAGTAACGGAGAGCAGAAAGTCAAGGTCCTAACGCAGCTGAAATAAAAACCTTTGGTGAAATCTGCCGTCCTTTCCTTCGTTTCTTTGTTTAAAAGAATTCCTTTCTTGTACATGCCTGAGAAGCAACAGGTGTTTACATTTGCACTGAATTAAATACAAGTGCAGTTTGAGTTACTCCCAGAATTGACACTCCTAGTAGCTGACAACAAACGGCCTGCCAGCAAGCGGACCCAGCACCACCTCCAGGCCAGGGGCCCCTACGAGTTGGCCATGACTGCCCAGCCGTCCACGCAGGACTAATTACGTGTTAAGTGCGCATGGTCACAAATCATTGATGAAATAGTGCCTAAGTGGTCATTCACGGTTTACTAGCTGCCAGCCAGTTCAGCAGTATGTTTGTGAAACCATATCCTGTGTTCAGTGACAGAAAGTTTGAACTGGTCCTATTTACCTTCTGCCTGGTTGGGTCTGCCTGCAACCCCCCACATCCTGTGTGCTGGGAAGTGCTCGAGGGAGGCACCATGACAACCCCAAACCATGGGAGAGAAAATAGGCTCGGAGAGGAGGTCACAGCAAATATCAGCAGCAGAGCCAGGACTGGACCGAGATCTGCCTGTCCCCTGTCCCCTGTCCCCTGGGCCACCATGCTTCACTCGGCAGGCACCCCGGCAGAGCCACCTGCTTGGGCCAGCAGGTAGCTAATCTCTAGGATTGCCTCGGATTGGGCGCTGAACCCCAGGTTCTACTGCCTCCATCACAAACCTCTGCGTGACCGGGAGCCATTCAGACCCTATCCCCAGGCCTCGGTGTGCCCATCTGTGAAATGGGAAGTCTGGGCTCGGTCAGTGGTTTTCAAAACTTAGTAATGAAACTAAATCATGCACAGGACTCCAGTCTAAAGTGAAAAAGTGCTCTTTGTAAGTTCAGGTGTAACACACACAGCAGATGAGCACAGCGGGCTAACTGCCAGATCTGAATCCCACCTGTGGGCCTTCCTTGCTGTGTGACCTGGGGCAAGTTCAAGCTTTCCAGGCCTGTTTCCTCTCCCATCAATTGGTGATATAACAGGACCTGCCTCATTGGTTGCTTTTAGGAAAATGAGTTAATTTTCTTGTAGGGTGATTAGGAAAGGGTCAGGCACTAATAAATGCTCAGTAAACGTGTGTGAATTTCCTTTAAGTTGTTAAACATTCATGGAGCTTCAGAACCGATGAAGAACCTTCAGGCGGTCCCTCACCAGACGAACTGTCCCTTCTAGCTTTTTAAAAACAAACAGTGAAAATAACGGCATCTAGCTGGGATAACCGCGTTTAGATGGGAGCTGATCGGAGGGCCGGGTGTCTGATGCGCTCTGTCTGCGCCCCGCCCCCACTGGCCCCCGGACGCACAGTCCTTCCTGTCTCCCTGCATCACGGGTTAAATTCTTCACAACTACTCAACCCACAAAAGCTTGGCCAACACCTGTGATTGACCAGCCAAAGCATCCCTTACGTAACTTAACTAATGGGCCTTGAATGGGCCTCGAACAAATATTTATTGCGCTGTGATACTCAGCAGATGCTGTAATTCCACAGTTTGAGTCAAACCCAGGTCCCTCCCTCAGGAAAACCATCCAAATCAGACATGAGGAGCCTCAACTCAGAACAGAAAGTGCCTGTAGGGACCCAGAGGGAGGAACTCCCATCCTGGGGTGGGAGGTGGTGGGGAGGCTCCTGGGAGGATGTGGGGTTTGCCCCATTTTGAGAGCATGGGAGGAACTGGATTCAGTGAGGCCAGAGGAAGCCCATTCAACACCCAGGGCATCGCTGGGAGGCCTCCGCCATGGCCCCAGACGCCTGCAGCTCCCAGAGGGCAGAGCCACGTCCAAGGCCAGGCTGGAGTGGGCCTCTGTCCTGCAGGCAGCCGGAGCCCCTCGGCTCTGACGCCAGGGCCCTGGTGAGGTCACGGCTGAGCGCCGGGAGGACGGGGCTGGGGTACTTTGAGGCACGGTTTGGAGAAGAAAGGAGACAGTGAGAGGCTGTCCCCACCACCAGCAGACCTGGCCAGCTGTGGCCCTCTGGTTCTGGGGACTGCGTCTTTGGATGGCTTCCATGGAGCTATAAATATCAGAATGCCCTCGGCCCTGGAGGTCCTGAGGCTCCTTGACGTGCTGATCACCCTCCTTTCTTGTTGATAAACCGGCTGCTCCCTGCGGACCCAGCACCAGGTGTTGGGCGCATGGAGGGACTGGCAGAGAGCAGACTGTTGGGGCCAAAGGCTCCTGCTTCTAGAATCTGACTCGCCCTCAGTGAGGGGAGGGACCTAGGTTTCTGAGCGCCACTGCGTGTGCGGCGCTGTTTACATGAGGTCGTCTGGTCCTCGCAACTAGGTCCCGTGCCTCCCCCCACCAACAGTTTTCATATGGGGGTTCCCATATGGGGGTTCAACGACTTGCCCAAAGTCATGTGACAGAGCTAAGGCGGGAACCGAAGCCTGTTTATTTACTGGGCCATGAAGAAATCAATGTTTTCCTCTGTCTTACATTCCCTCTTCAGAACACTGCCTCTGGGGCTGTCCCTCAGACTGGCCGGGGAAGAGCCGTGCTGGCCGCAGGGGCAGCCAGCCGTCAACACCATGTCCAGCTGCCTGCTCGGGGCTGGGCCTTCCTCCCCTGGCCGGCCACGGGAGCACCAGGGAGGGTCTGCCGGGGGGTGGGGGGCTCACGGGGCTTCCAGGAAGCAGCAGCAGCATGTGAACTGCTCCAGAAAGACCCAATCTGGTGCGCCATGGAGGGGGTTTGGTGCCAGGTTCCAGCGTGGGGAGACTCCCCTCTGTTGAGCGCCCCAAAGAAACATGGATTCACGGAGTCTGCACTGTCCATCCTCTGGGGTGGTGGAAAATGGTCAGAGACTGCCAGGTCTCCTCGTGGACACGCTGCTCAAGACCGATGATTTGATGTTCAATTATTCAAATGCGCTTTTCCATTTTCTCAATTCCATTCCTGTATCCTGATCCCACATCACGTAAAAACACTCCCAAGTGGCAGAAACCCAAATTTCTGCAGTTGCCTATTTCAAAGTGTCCCACAAAGCAGGACTCTGTCTTTCTCGAATCTGCCATCTGATGACAGTCTAACCATCCCAACTCCCGATCAGCCTATTAGCGTGTTGGAGTTAAATAAACACCATTTCTGCCTGCCATCGCTGAAAGCTTGTTGCTCTGACAAAGACAGGCCTGAAAATGTGTTGTTTCTTTTCAACCAAAACTCCCCACCTCCCCGCTCAGCTTCCTGAGGGTCTCTGCCCCCAGCATGGGGTCTGACGGCCCCACCAGGCAGCGTAACTGGCACCCAGGGGTCCTGAGAATGCCACTCAGAGGTACCAGCTCTCTGGCTAAAGCCGGGTCCCTGTCTCAGGACCCTGCTCCCCCCAGGCAGAGTCTTACCCTCGCCTTGGGCCCCACCTGCACCACGGGACCCTCCCCCAGGCTGCCCTCTTCCTGAGTTTCTGCTCCTCCCTGGGATCCGCCCGCTCATGTTCACCAGCAGATCATTGTTTTTTTGTCCCAAGTGTGCCGTTCTCTGTGGGAGAATCATCTTTCAGGCTTTTATGTCAGGAAGCAGAAGCCGACCCGTGTTACCGTGACACGGGCACATGCAGTGGGCACAGACCTCTCTCGTTCAGATGGCTTGGGGGCAAGTCACAGAAATGGTCTCCGTTGACTGGCAGATAAGTCTTTTTGGAAGGGCAAAAACAAGGGCTTCTCGGGGGTCGTTTGGGTACGAGCCCTGGAAAGACTGAGCAGCACCCCATTTTCTGTCTGTAGCAGAGACAACTGCTATTTGTCCCCCCAAGTGCCCTGAAAGGTAGGAGAAGCCCGGACCTGGAGCTGAGCCTCTGGCCACCCCAGAACAGCCCCCTTTCCCAGCCTCCCCTGCTGTGAGCCCAATTTCTGGCCAATGGAAGTAACTGGAAGGGAAACAAGCCATGTCCAGGCCACGCCATGAAAGGACAGCACGCCCCCTCCTTACGCTCTCCTGCCAGCCTTGAGAGTGAAGCCCCATCCTGGCTCAGACGATCGTGTCGGAGAGAGAAACTGCCGTCACAGAGTCTCCGTCCCACGGGGCCTCCTAAGCATCTCCTCCAGGCTCTTGAGAGTCAGGGCAGCGTGTTGGGCTGGCCTCGCTTGGGCCACACGCCGATCCCATGACTAGCGGGGGCAGGACAGAAGGACTGACACTTCCACCAGCCTGCACACAGGAGGTAGAGGGGAGAGTGCCCACTGCCCTCCACCCTGCGTGGCTATAGGAAACCCAGATTCTGGCCATCACTGCCAGGGGGCCTGGGGATGCACGCGGACCCCTACACCATCCCGGCTGGTGTGGGTGGTGTCGGTTAGCCTGCTGACTCCAGGCTGCAGCGAACCCCTGGCCCTGCCCACCCCCAGCTGCCCCAGCTCCCCCTCCCCTCCTCCTGCAGGCCGCCCTCCTCAGCGAGGCTTCTCATTCTCAGCGGTGGACACAGGCTGTTCCGAGTCCCCTCAGGGATGGCTGGGACCCAGCAGCAGGGTGTAGCAAGACTTCACTGAAGCTTTGAGGAAAGAGCGATGATGACATTACCAGGATTGGTGGGGCCAGGCTCTCTGCTAACCACTTACGCAAAGATTTTCCCATTTAATCCCACAACCCCACAAGGTAGGAACTATCTTTCTCCACACTTTGTAGATGAGGACACTGAGGTGCAGCAAGAGTAGGTGACGTGCCCACGATGAACAGCTACCATCAAAGCCAGGATTTGAGCCCCAGCTGCTGGGCTGCAGGGTCCCTGCTCTGAGCCACTAGGCTCAGTGCTCCTCACACAGTAGGTGTTCAGAAAACATTTGTTGAATGATGAATGAATGATCAAGCCAATTTGCTAAACTAAACAGTGATCCTTCCAAGGAGAAGTTAGTTCTTATTATTTATAAATGGTACAGTCACTTGTACCTCTCCTAGTCTTCTCCCAAACATCCATAGCTATTTTGCATGTTTGGACATTTTTTTGGCATAATTTTAATAATGGATTCCTTTCAATTTTCATTTTTACTTTTGTCCTCCTACTACTGCTGCCTGTTGCAGGTTTTCAGTGCCTCTCTGAAAGTCTTCATGTCACTTGGCTGTGTGGGCCCATTCTAACAGTATCCAGGTGGAGATAATGGGGCTTTGTTGTTCAAAAAAGGACACAGCTGTTTGAAATGAATCACTCAGGACCTGGGCAATTATTTTGAGCTCTAGAAGATTTTCAGTTGCTAGGAGACCACAGCTGACGCGGGTAAGCCTTTGTTCAAGTTTTCTCAGGTGGTTGAGCTTCTGCAGGCCCTGACCCAGCCTGGATGCTTTAGGCTGTAGGTCAGGAGCCTGGGGGAGACGGGGGAGGCTATGGACTCAGTTCTAGGCAGAGGAGCTCAAGCAGCAGCCTGGAAACACCCATCAGAAATCACCCGCAGGGACCGAAGTGGTTCAGGTGGCAGAGTCCAGGACCCAGTTTGGGGACACGCTGCCCTGAGTCCTGAGCCTGGCTCCAGCACTCACAAGTCTGTGGCCTTGGGCAAGTCACCCCTCTTTTCGACTCTTTGTGCCTCAGTTTCCTTATTTGTAGCACGAGGGAAGTCACAGCCTCCTCCTTTAGGGTGGCTGTGCGGACGACCTGAGGTGGTGCTGGCGCCGTGCATGGCTCACAAGTGTCCGCTGAGCTCTCAGCACCACGTGGCTTACATACCAGGCTAAGGCTTGTGGATGTGGCCCAGTGGGCGTCAGGGACCTCAGAGCTCTCAGGGCTGGGGACAGACGGGTGACAATCACATTTTCATCTGAGCAGACAATGGCCTATAGTTGGGAGGGGAGCAGATTTTGAGCGTTATTTCATGCAGCCTGCTCAAACGCTCCCCTCTGTGGCCTGTCCACAGCTCTGAGCTCAGGGCCTGGAGTGCAGTCGGGGCCCGTCCACAGGTGCAGCCAGCCTGGCCGCCCTGCCTAGAAGCCCAACTTCCCTCACGTCCCTGGCCGCTCGGAGCCCCCGCCTACCCCTCTCTGCCACCCTCTGGCTACAGGCCCCCTGAATATTGCCAGGAGCTCCCCAGCAGGGTCTCAGCCTGCCACCCTCAAGAAGGGCAATGTGGGGTTTGATCCCACCGCTGCTGCCTCCTTCCAGGTGAGTGGCCTTAGGCAGGCACTTGCACCTCTCACCTGTGGGCCCTCACCTGTGGGAGTGGCGGGAGCCAAAGCGGGGGCTGGGAGGTCAGAATGAAGGTAGCTGAATTCATTTCCTAGGGTCACGGTGACAAACTGCCACAAGCTTGGCGGCTTAACAAACATGCTTATTCTCTTACAATCTGTGGGTCAGAAGTCCGACAGTGGTCTGTCTCCCTGGGCTAAAATCAGAGTGTGGGCAAGGCTGCTTCCTTCTGGAAGCTCTGGGGGAAAAGCACCAACAGGTGCTCTGCTTCCAAAAACGCATGTGCTAGATCGGTCCCACCTGGATACCCCAGGCTACGCCCCCATCGCAAAGCCTGAATCTCGCCTGCACCTCATTCTCACCTGCCCAGTCCCAGAGCTGGTGCTCAGTCGATGCTGGTGGAAGCTGGGGTCTGGGGGGCTGAGGCCGCGACATCTGGCACCATCCTTTGAGCAGCTGGCACGTGGCAGGAGCGTTCACCATCTGATTTGAATCTAGACTCCACCACTTACTAGCGCTAAGATTTGGGCCCAGGTTAAATGATTCAATCCCTAAGCCTCGGGTTCTCCGTGTGTAAACTGGTATAACAATAGCTCTCCCCCTTCCTCCTCAAAAGGGGTAACACGAAGCCTAAGTGAAATAGTACACGTGGAGCCCCCCCGCCCACGGATTCAAAAAAGTTCTTTTTATTATCTCATTAGTCATCCCCACTGGGAAGGAGTGGCCTTGTCTTATAGGTGCGGTTCAGAGAGGTTAGCCGTGTGTCCAAAGCCACACAGCCAGGAGGCAGCTTTCTCCACCTTCATGCTCTGTCCTGAGTGCGGAGAGCTGAGCCAATGAAAGTCCTGCCGGCAGACCCACCAGAACAGCCCCTGCCTTCCCCTGCTGGGCCTGACGTGGAAAACACCCTCTTGAAAGTGGAGGAGGGAGGCCTAGACTCCCAGGAAGGACGCAGGGAGACTCCTGGGGACACAAAGCACATCCCTGCACATCCTCGTGTTTATCTCAGCCGTCGCAGCAGGCGGAGCTGGGCCTCCCTGGCTTCCAGAACTAACCCAGATGCCCTGTGTCTCTCCTCTCTGGCTCCCGTTCCCGGGGACCCTGAGGCACGTGTGTGGTAGTGCTGCTAGGGGAGCACTACATTAGAAGTTAGCCCGCCCCGGGCTCAAAGCCTGGCACCAACACATCCTAGCTGTGTGGTCTCCTGCTAGTTCCTTAACCTCTCTGAACCTCAGTTGCCTCATCTGTACCTTAGTCTCACATTGGACGTGAGGGTCAAAAAAAAAACCCATGGGAGAATGTGAGAGTATTTGGAAATCATGATGGGTTATGCTGACCAACTTCAAAACAAACAGCCACCGTTTACTGAGGGCTTCTGTGCCAGGCCCTGTGCTTTGCGGGCCTGGTCCCATGGAGGGTTGCCCCTCCCCCACAATGCAAACCATTGAGGTTGGTATTATTATTAGCTCCATTTGCTCGGTGATGACATCAGAGCTTGGAAAGGCTAAAAGCTGTGCTAGGAGCTCGCGGCAGCAAAGCCGTGAGGTGAACCAGGCTTCCCGGCGCCCATGGGTAGCCCCCGTCCGCCATATAGCCTCCTGAGGGGGCCCACTGCCCTGGGGTCAGCCTCGTCAAAAACAAACACCATTCTGAGCTTCATTTTCAAGGTAACCTTTGTTATTTTATTGGAAAAAGCTGGTATTCACATATTTATAGTTTTATTCAACAGCTGGGTAATTTGTGAAACACCAAAAAAAACAAGAATGCACCTATGAGTTACAGAGTCCAAAGTGACCGGTTCCATCTACTCTACCACCACATACATGTCCGTCGCCACCGAGAGCGCAGTCCTCCGAGAGAACGCAAACAAAAATAAAAACAACCCAACAACTGCACAATGACTATGTGAACGCCCATACATTCAAGAGGAGCAGAAAATTTCAACAGAGTTAAGGAAGCAACGTTTGTGACCATTTTACTGGCCCTTCTGTCATTTCTAGCTTTGTCTCTCCCCACCCGCAACACATGTTTCTCGAAACACATTCTATTATTCACAGTTTGCTTTGGACATCATTCTTTTCCAGGGATCCAAAGATAGGCTTTTCTTCCGAAAAGATCGTTTCCTATCTTTACCTTTTCTTTTTCTTTTTGGTTTGGTATCCAAAGTTTAAAACAGAAGTAAGGTACCAGGAACTGTGTTAAGACCTCCTTTTTCATACGGTATAAGATCTGCACTTGGCGGATGGTAAGTGTTACGTCTGTGATCTGACAGACACCTCCAGCTGTAAATGCACGTTTCCTCTCAGCATCTGAACCACAAAGGGGAATGGACTGTGCCAAATATCCGAGTAATTGTGTAAGGCCCTCAGAGCTGGATTTTGGCTTCAACAAGGTTTCTATACAATTTACCACATTCTTGAACCTCTTTACAAAGGGGAAAAAAAGGAATCCAATCCTGTGATTGTTAATTTTAATTAGAATAGATATATACATATAATACTGTCCAGGTCACCTGGATTTTACAGTGATATATAAACAAACATTCTTCATTCACTTTGATTTAAAAAAAAAAAAAGATCAATGGACCCATTTCCTTGTGTAAATATCGTATGGCCGGAAGTGAGTGCACATGCGTTTTGTGCTTTGACACACACAAAAGTATACCGTTATCCGCTGACAAAAATTTCAGGTGGGTCTATTTCCTGGGTTAGGTTACATCTTGTAAAAAAAGGTTGGATTTGGTGGAGCCTCTGCAGGCTGCTTTCGGAATCAAAATGCACAGCACGGGACCGGCTGCCTTTCCTGGGCAAAGTCAACACGTGCGTGGTTGGCGGAGTGGGTGGAGCTGGTCTTGACAGAGCAGAAGGAGCTATTGTGGCCCTGGAGAAAGTGTCCCTGGAGACTGTGCGGTCATAAATAAAAGGTATCTTAAAATGGTTATAACATGCAATCTTCTTTCGGAGGCGGTCCAGTGCATGTGAAAAGGGCCAGGGCGCAATGAGGAGTCGCGTGGACGGCTGAGCTTTGAAGTCACCAAACAGCAAGGAGCCACCGGGGGCTTCTCCATTCTCCCTTGGACACCTTGGTCCTTGTGTCACCTGCTTCGTCCTGCTTCACAGATGAAGCAATGTCTCCAAACCTTCCAGGCTAAACCATGGCTCTAACGTGAGCCACCAACATGGAGAGAAAAGTGCCTGTGCGAAGATCTGGATGGGGTCCCTGACTGCACCGCCTGCCTGCCTGGAGCGCCTTGGGCAGACTGTACATCGTTCCGGGGCCTGGGTTTCCTCATGTGTACAATAGGGGTGATGAATTGTTCATCTTTTAATCCCTGGCACATGGCACGGGGCCTGGCACTCAGTGAACAGTGGGCGTTTATGGAAGAAATGAATGGACGCCCACCCGACTCTCAGGGTCGTGACAAGGATGCCAAAAGGTCATGGACCGACCCAGCAGGAGTTCCCATGAGGTACCCAGTGACTGTTGAAGGGTGATGGTGCCCCACAGAGCAGGCATAGGGCTTAAATCAATGCACCTAAAGGACCCAGTGCCATGCCTGGTACACGGCAGGTGCACAGCAAATGTTGGTGAAATGGTGAGAATAACAGGCACACACGGGAAGATTTCACACCCCCCTTCCTCTCAGGAAACCAAAATGGACCGGGGATATTGAAAGACCTGGAAAGAACCTAAAAGAGCTTGCATCTGCAAATTCTCAGCTGGAATTCATGATCCAAAATTTAAAGGTGAGGCCCGCAGCTCTGAGACAGTGGGAATTGCTCCGCTTATAACCAAAGAACCCCTGGCTGGCTTGTCTGAGCTTCATTATCTGTCCCCAGAGCCCTGATCTGGGGCCAGTCAGCCTGTGAGAGAAACAGCTCACATCGGCTCCCGCATCCCCTGAAAGGAACCGCTGGAGTGAAAAATTAACCCAGAGATGTAAAAATCCTAACAATGTGGTAAAGACCGCACGCAGGTCAAGTACGGGAGTGAAAGAACCCTGAACTTGAAAGCCGACAATCACGTCCATTTCACGATTTGTGGCTGTGAATCGTTTGTTTTCTTTCTTTTTAAACAGACAACTGCCCAAAGGTGGCCTGGCTTAGGGACGCCGGGGGAAGGACAAGGCCACTCCCTTGTCCTTGTCACCGCCGCCATCGTCCCCCTCTTCTATGCTGCCGTTTGACGGTCGTGCCGGGGCAGCTGCCAACGGCTGGCTCGCAGGGTGGGCCCTGCGCACGCCTAGTGCATCTCGGAGCTCACCTTGTCCTGGAAGATGTACAGGTTGTTGGTGGCAGCGATGGCAATGATGTTCTCGGCCGGGTGCCAGGCCGTGTGCAGGATCTTCTTGGTGAAGTCCAAGCTGTCCACGCTGATGTCGTCCCGCCGGCGTTTGCCGCCCACACACACGCGCCGCGGCTTGAGCACTGCCCGGGGCTTGCTGCTCTCCCGGGAGGCCTCCAGGGTCACGTCCCGCTTGGTGTTCCGGTCAAACATGCGGAAGAAGTTGTTGTAGGCCCCGGTCATGATGACGCTGGAGGGAGGACAGGAGTCAGGTGGAGGACGCGGGGGAAAGAAACCTGCCCCTTCTCAACAAATAACCCCGGGGCTGCAGGGCCATCGCTCCCTGGGAAGGGAGCCCATGGAAGGAGACGCGGGGCCACACCTGCCTCAGAGCCACCTTTCCCTGGGGTCACCCGTCCTCCCTCACCTCTCAGCTGCCATCACCATACGGACTTCAGGACCAAGAGCTAAGAGCCCTTGAGTGCTCTGCCCCAAACATCACAAAAATCTTTTCCTGTACTTTCCCCTGTAGTCCGGGAGAGAGAGCCCCAGACTTTCAGGAGACGAGGCCACTCAGGCAGAAATAACCTTCCACTTGGCTTGGGGCCTGACAAGGTTGGGCCAAGAATTCCCTTTGGGTTTCCACCCACGAGTGACTTTGGGGGCTGCCCTGCCCAACCTGTGCGGTCCCTGTGCCCACCATCTGCAGTGTTAGTGTTATGTGTCACCTCTCCTTGAAACCCAAACTGCTTTCTCTGACCTCATGTTCAGAGATCAGGTGGGTGTTTTGGGAGCAATGAGGATACAACCCCTCCATAAACTGGCTCTTTTGTGGGGGCATCCAGGCAGACCCAGGAGGGGCTCACCTGGGCCAGCCATCCCTCTGCACTCTGACGTGGGACCTCTCTGCAGCTACCTGCTGAGTGGTGGGGGTGGGCCCAGGCCTGGGGAGGTGGGCAGTGAAACAGTTCTGCCTTTTCAAGAGATCTGTCTAATCTGGGGGTGGAAGGAGGGTGGGTGGAGAGTTCTAACGTATTTTCTGGCTCTGTACTTTTCTGTTCTAAAATTCTGCCTTTAAAACCTTAATTCCTGTGAATAGACCCATTTGTTGTTGAGACAATTAAATGATGTGTGTGGAGGCGCCAGTCGGCCCGTGGAGGTGCTCATAGTGCGAGGCGCCCACCCTGCACTGCTCAGGGTGTGGACAGAGCACCCTCGGCCCCCCACCCCCTGAAGAAGCCCCACTTCTCACCTTGGAAGTCAGCTCATCCTGGGAAGGTTCGGCTAGCTCTAATGTCCCCTCAGTCATCTCAGTCATGACCTGGGAGACCTCACTGCAATGTGACACCTCTGAGCCAGGAAATACCACAGAACCAGGAAGGTCTGTCGTTTTAAATTCACTGTAAGAGTTGTGAGGGTCAGAGGCTTCCCCCTCACAGTCCAGGCGTCTGGCCATTTCAGCCAACAGGGACCCCCCCAGTGTGTGACCCTCAGCTAGGTCATCACCAGAGTGCCGCCCCTGCCCCCGCCCCGGCTTGCATTGAAGCCAGTTTCTTCACCTCTGCTAACCTCATTTTCCACATCTGCATGTGGGGGTCACAATTCTGGCTGCTCTTTGCGCTGGGAAAGGCTGCTGCCCCCATCCCTCAATCACAGCACTCCACCCGCCCCTCTGCTGGCCAACTGTGGTATAATGTTATAATCATGTCCATGCTGATTGGCTCAAACGTGAGCATGTGACCCAAACAAAGCCAATCAGATGCTTCCATGAGAATTTTCCATAGGCTCTGGGAGGGGCTGTGAGGACAATGGAAGGAGGACTATCTGGGGTCGTCATCCCCAGCAGCAAGGGCAGGAGAAGCTGAGGTTGGTGTGTAAAGAGAAGCAGGGAGGAGCTGAGATGAGAATGGATGGACACAGAGGAGATGGTCCCAAAGATGCAGCAGGAGCCCTGGGGTAGCCTTGCCCAGAAGTGCTCAGAACGCGCTTAGGCTTATCTGACGCCTACAGCCAGAGGACTCTTGGTTGACACAAATCCCTTCCTCCCAGGTAGAGCAGATCAAGGAGAGCTTCCTAGAGGAAGTGGCATTTGAGGTAGGTCTTGGAGGCTCAGCAGGGTTCTTTCAGGTGGGTAACCATGGCAGGTCCAAGACAGACGACAGACCCCTAGATCATCGGACCACCCACTGCCAGTACGAACCCGTGGCCTTGCCAAGAGCTTCATACGCAGGGTCTCAGCCTCAGCGCAGCCCTGGGAGGTCAGTTTATTAGAACCACATTCCAGGGAAGCAGACTCAGGAGGCCCAGTGGCTTACACCTGGCTGGAGAGTGGTGGCGTGTGGACCAGAAATCATCAGTGTCTGACCCCAAAGCTGCTGTCCTTTCCTACACACCAGGCTGGCCACCTAAGCCTTGCTGGAGGTGGGTAGGAGCTGCTGTGAGGGTTATCACACATCTAGCATCTCTGCTGCCATCTACATAACAGGGTACCGTAAGCACCCCATTAACATGAGAAGGACAGCACACTGAGCCCATGGGATTCAGGTTGTTTGGTCTGCAAGGGGGGGACCCTGGAGGGCAGTGCTTGCACCTACCCTTAGACTCTGAGCTCCTAGAAGGCAGAGGCCAGGGTTTATTTGTCTCAAGATCCCTATCCATAGGGCATGCTGGGCCCAGAGGAGTGCGTGGGATGAAGCGAAGGAGGTGGCACACCCCTGTGCCTTCCAGAACGTCCATAGCCATTGACTGGACACCCCTAAGGCCCCAAGTGAGGGGCTCAGAGTGGTCTGAGCCACAGTCCCACCTCCAGGGCACCCCAACCACTGGGGGAGGCAAACAGAGGCAAGAAGGAAAATGTGATAAATGCCAAGGCAAGGAAGGAAAACCCAGGAGACTGGGGGAGGGGCAGGGGGAGGGGCAGGGCGGAGAGGACCCTGAGGGCTTCCTGGAGGAGGGGGCCTGGAGTTGAGTTGGTCATGCCAGGTGAAAGGAGGAGTGAGCCAGGTGCAATGCGGGCAGGGTTCGAGGGGGCAGGAGCAGAGCCGGGTGTGGAGAGGGAAGCAGGAAGCGGGGTGGTGGAGACCTCCAGGGCCGGGGATGGCTGGTGTATAAAGTGCATGGCAGGAAGCGGCTGGTAAGAGGCAGGACCGCTAAGGTCCAGGCTGGGCACCAGACAGCAACAGAGCTTGGCGGGCCCATCGCCGGGAGCCAGGCATTGCCTGTTCATGGGCGCCCTCTGGTGGCAATGTGGAGGAAGTGTAGGCAGTGGTCGCAACCACAGAGGGCTCCCAACACACACAGTTGGAATCACCTTTTGCCAGCAATAAGGACAGAACCCCCATCCCATGACCCACTGGCAGTGTTCAGCAGGGAACACCCCAATGCATCAGGGCCTGCAGCTCAGGGATACCTGAGAATCTCTGACCTCACTGGGGGTTTCTGAGGTCAGCCTGGGTGCAAGCACCTAGAGGTAGTGCCAGTGTCCCCTGACCCTGCTGTGTCCGCCCAGCCTCAGGCTGGCACCGGCGTCTCCATCCTGGCTTTCTAAGCACCCTTAAAGTGGACCCCTGTGATCACCAAGCTGGTCCCTCTGTCTGAGACCACAGTCCTGCTCAGAGACCCTCATGGGCCAGGTGGACCCCAGGATGTCAGCAAAAACTCGCAGGGATCCCCACCCCTGGACACAGCGGCTTTACCCCACTTGGGGCCCTATTGCTGCTGGCCTCCCTCCCCTCATACCCACCTGCCCTCACGGTCCCAGCATACCTGTGGCCAAAGCCACACAGGGTCATACCACAGAAGCTCTAACATGACCAAAGCAGTGCTGGACCTGTCAGGACGTGGGCAGAGGCCAACCTGCTCCTGGGCAGACAGGCATGACTGATGGGGTCCATGTGGCTAGACACACCCCTGGAGAGCACCTGAGTAGAACACGGGGGGTCTCACTGCACCCTTGTCACCGCACCTGCCACACTGGACTAGACTGCAGGGGAGCGAGTTGACACCAAATGTGCTCCGATTGTGAAAATGTGATGTGACATTCTGATACACTGGCCAGCGTCAGTTTTATCCCTACTGTCTTGTCACCTGGGCCTCTGCTGGGCGGTCCCTGTCCACACCCGCTCTGGGCTGAGCCGGGGGATGGGGGGAATCCTCATCAGGCTCAGGACCATTTCCTAGGTGAGAGGCGGCTGGACCCAGGAGGTACAGGAGCGGGGATGTGCTCCCCCAGCCCTAGTGGGCCTGAAGTGGGGGTGCCGCTAGAGAGAGGCGGCTGCAGCATTGATGGCGGGAGGACGGGTGGATAGACTTTAGTGGCTAAAGCTGTCTGCCCCACGGGGGCCCCAGCACTGGGAACACCCACCACCTTGACAACCTGGGGACCCAAAATTAATGTGTTTCCACTACCACTCAGGGAGTGAGGCCACACATGGACATTAGGGGTAGCTACAGAATGTGAAGGTTTGTTTCCTGTCCTTGACTTTGAAAGCTGAGAGCTCATGCCTATACCTGCCACAAGAAAGGTGGGCCTCTTTCGAACACCTTGACTTACTGAGGTCTATTAAAAGTGAATTCCCATGACGCATTTGCCCAGGTCACCAGCTGAGGCCCCACTGAACAGAACTCTCCCCAGTTAGATGGTGGGGCCTGAGGTCTGATGGTTACCTGTCACTCCCGTTCCAGGCGCATTCGAACTTGTCAAAAATGCAGTCATTCTCATATAGAGAACAGAGCTTGCTCCGAAGGTAATCGTGGACCTGGCATGAGAAGGGGACGGGGTGAGTCGAGAGGGGCTTCCGACATTCCTGGCCCCCCGCCACTGAGCAGTGAGGGGCTGTGCTCTCTGGGTCTGGATGGCAATCCTGACAGCCCTGCTCAACAGGAAGGGCCCACAGCCTGGCACAGGGCCAATCCTGAGCTGTGACCATAGAGGAGCGTCACAGTGACAAAGGGGGCCAAATCCTGGCTTCGCCCCTTTCTAGCTGTGTGATTCTGGACCAGTGACTTCACCTCTCTGAACCTTGGTTTCTTCATTCTTAAACTGACAAGAGTGCATTCCTCATGGGATATTCTGGAATCAACCGTAGGACACTGCTTGGTGTAGGGTCATGCCCTCTAAGAATAACAACAGTCATCATGAGCACGTGGTGACTGTCATGAAGGAAGGGGAAGGAGAACCCCCTGCTCCAAGCATCATGCCCCAGCTTAGTACAGACGCCCTCTCCCTGTGTCTGCCTCTGCCCCCGGCCCGTCTATCTCCACAGGCAGCCAGAGGTCCCTTTGAAACTAAGCTGGATCATGTCACACCTCTGCTCAAAACCCTCCCCACAAGTCCCCCTGGGCCCCGCCCCATCACTTCTCTGACCTCAGCTCCTCCTCTCCCGCCTTGCTCACTCTGCTCCAGCTGGCTCCTGGGCAATCCTTCACCACACTAGCGGTGTCCCTGCCTCAGGGCCTTTGCACTTGCTGTTCCCTCCCCCGGGAATGCCCTCCCCCCGGGTTGCTCATGCCCTTACTTCCCTTAGGCATCGGCACCTGGGAGACACACAAGGCTTACAGAGGGGTTGTCACAAGGAGCTGTGCTGGCCCTTTCATGAATCCATCCCAAGGACGGAGTAGAACCGAGGGAAGGTGGGTAATGGACCAGAACCATGCCAGGTGTCCTTGTGGGCATGTGGCCTCCAGGAACCCCCTGTCCTCGCCTTTCAGCTCTGCACCCCTTCCCAGTGGGGCCCCTTCTGCCCCCCAGCACACCTCCCTACCCCTGGCCTTGGCAATGAAGGAGGACAGGGAAGGGAGGCACAGGGCTCCCACATGGGCTCTGAACCTGTCACTGCCCAGCTATGAGGCAGCTCCCTCAAGTCCTAACCTCTCAGCACCCCAGCTTCCCTTTCTGCCAAAAGGGGCTGACGGCACCCCCTTCACAGGGGCAGTAAGAAGTAGAGGTGACAAATGTCAAGTGTGTGGAACCCCATGTACTCCTAATACTTGGTGAAAGGGTTTGGCTGGGGCTTCGGGGTGGGGGTGCGTTTCCCACTCACATCTGCACAACCAAATCCTACTCGCCCTCCGAAGTGCAGCACAAACATCACCTCCCAGAAGCCCCCCTGATCTCCCAAGATAAAGACATAACTGCAAACAGCTTTAAAGCAAATTTAAAGCACTCCCACATTTCTTTCAAGTCTCTATTTTATTTTAACACCCCGTGGATTTTATTTTCTACTCCCTAGTATATCGAGATGGATTGCAACAGAAAAATAATAATAAAGATGCTCCCATCAGGTGCCCCAGGCCTCACCCTGCAGGCCTGTCTTAAAAGGCCTGTGCCGAGGGCTTAGAAATGTAACACAGTCCCGTTTCACCACTCCATGCACTAACGACGCTCCCCAGAGAGGACAAATCTTGCCGTCTTAATGGCAGAACGGCAGACGCTGGCTCCTGGGGAGGGACGCCATTATCTGCACCCTTACTCACCTGTACCCTCAAAACGGGCCCAGCCCGAGGCTCACCTTGGTGCCCTGGGCCCCAGACCACAGGCCGGTCACAGCCCTGCCTGGGCCAGGAGCCAGCAAGCAGAGGACACTCACAGCTCCCTGCCAGGCAGGGCTGAGCAGGCCCTCCAGCCTGTGGCCGAGCTGTGCTGCTAGGTTTCCTGAGCCTCGGTGTCTTCACCTACAAAATGGGCCTGTGAAAGCCCTGTGGGTAGGAAAGCCCCTCCGTGGGAGTTCTCAGCACAGGAAGGGACCCCAAGCTTGTGCAGGCCGCAGCCCACCTGGTAGGTCTCGATGGGCCTCGCCTCCATGTTCAGGTCCCAGACCTTGACAGTGAGGTAATCCCGGGTGAGCATGTACCGGCCGCTGTGGCTGAATTTGACATCCGACACAGAGGAGATTATTTCCGAAAAGAAAGAGCGGTTGCTGGGGTCCTCGGGCTCCTCGAAGACTGCGGAGACAGAGAAATGACGGCTGTCACCAGGGTGTTCCTGCCCATGGGGTCACAATGACACACGACTCTGTTTCCACCCTGCGAACACACTGTATGTCATTCATTCATTCATCAAACCTACGAGTAGGACTAAACACCTATCAGGCACTGGGCCCGAACAGATCCTGCAAAGAAAGAAGAACCAGCAATGTTTACTGAGATTCTGAGCCAGTCTGTGCTGAGCCCTTTCTGTGCCTTACTGCATCTAACCCCCCAATAAAAGTAGTAGTAGTATTCCCACTTTATAGCCAAGGAAACCAAGGCATGGATGGCTGGAAACCACACCTGAGGTCTCAGAGCGGGAAGAACGCCGCGCGTTGGCAGCAGAATTGAAACACCGGATTGCTGCACTCTACTGCCTCCTAGTGGCCATGCTGCTGAACACCAGGATTGTGAGGCGTCCTGACTTTCTCCCATGTGCTGGACCACGTCCTGGACTAGGCCGGCCACTGCTTATGGCTCTCACTGGCCCTGGGCCCTCTGTTCCAAGCTCTTCCAAGCTCATGTCCATTGCTGGCTGTCCTACCAGTTTGCTCACCAGCGCCCTCACTGGCCCATCAGGTCCTACAGTGGCCCTGGTCCCGGAACAGGGCAGGGACTAGGGTCCCTGCTGGCCAAGCATTAGCTTCTTAGGACGTTGGGCCACGGACGGGCCTGCGGATCGGGGAAGAGGGTGGTGGTCGGTTGGCAGCCGTTGGCCAGCAAGTATGGAAACACTTAAACATTTGGCAACCTGTCCAGCTGCCCCCATGGAAAACGGCCGCGTGGTTGCCAGGCCCTGAAACAGGGAGCACAGAGCTGACCACGTCTCCCCAGAGGCTCACAAGAGTGCTCTCCCTGCCCCTTCCTCCTGGTCACAAAGTCCCATATCCTACTTCCCAGGTCTGTCCCAGCCCTGTAGCCACATCCGAGACCCCTGTTCTCCCTGTTGTCCAAAGCAGACATCGTCTCCGCCTTTCCCAGAAACACACTCTGCCTAGCTCCCCTCTGCAGGGTGGCTGGAAACCCTTCATGCTGATCGGATGCTCTCGTGTATTCATTCATTCATTCATTCATTCATTCGTTCATTCTCAGTCACCCAATCCATACAGAGCGCCTTCCCTGTGCCAGGCACTGTTCCAGGCCCTGAGGAGCTGCTGTAAGCAACTCAAAGCCCCCGCTGTCCGGGAGGCTCTTCTCGCAAAGATGGACAATGAAACGCAAGGACATGCTATCCTGTCAGGCAGCAAGGAGTGCTGGGAGGAGAGCGGGACAGGCGGGGGCCTCTGTGGGGGCTGATGTTTGAGCAGAGATCTGAGTGAAGGAGGGAGGGAACAGTGCAGGCACCAGGAGAGGAGCGCTCCAGGCAGGTGCAGCACGTGCAAAGGCCCTGAGACACGGACGAGCTGGAGGCCATGCAGACGGAGGAAAGAGTGAGCAAGGCGCTGTCAGCCAAGAGAAGGACGTCACCCCACAGGCAACGGGGCGCCACAGAAGGTCCTGAGAGGACGGAGGGCATGGCGAGGTGTGGCTTTCTCTGGGATTTCCTCCTGGGAGGATGGAGACCTCCTGGGAGGCCACCTTTAACCTCTAGAACCTCTGAATTCTGATTGGTCCTCTCCCAAAATCACGTGTTGTGCCCTGGTAATAATGATTACACTGACATCTTTACTGCTGCAGGTATAAACAGTCATAATTTTTCTTTGTGAAGCCAAAACAGGATCAAACATTTACCTCTTCTCTCAGATACCCGAAGTAAAGAGAAAAAATTCAATACTTGGTTTCTTACTTTAATGAAATGATCAAGGGTATAGACCTAGTATTTGGGAGGACCAGGGCTGAGGGTTTGAGGGAAGGGGGACCCTAAACTCTCCGCAGAAACCCAGGTGGCCCCAGCACTGCCCCAGGTACGCAGGGGAAACCTCTCTTGACTGAACTAGCATTTCTGTCGCTAGGGGTCAGAACAGAGGCGGGTTATAAAAACGTAAAGCGGGGTCTGTCTCTTACATCTGATTGTGAAGGGGGCCTTTGTACCCCCTTCCCACCTCGGTGGTTTCCTCCGGTCAGCCCCCACCTACACCACTCCCAGCTCACTTCGCCCCTGCACCCTGCAGAGCTCCTAGCATGCCTAGTGGGGTTAGGTAGGTGGATGGGGACCAATACACAGCGGTGCGTCCACACGGGATGTCACAGAGCCATAGGCTGGGACTTCCGCCAGCTTCACGGAGCAGGAAACCACAAAGGTCAAAGGCTGAGAGGAAGATCTAATCAACAACCGAAAATGGACACCAAACGGCCCCCGGTAACCTCAGTTCTGGCTGGACTCGGCACGTGCGATGGTTTTCTAAGCACAAAAGGATCAGAACTGCAAACGATTAACGGGAAGGGATAGTCACAAGCCTGAAATGAATTACACCTAAAAGTTTGTATTTTTCTTTTTAAACATGTCTATGGATATCTTTTTTGATACAACCATTTTTTTAAATCAAGCAACAGCAAAATCTACGACGCCCTATGCCATTATCAGTCCCTGTCCAGCCCTGCCCACCACACACACACACACACACACACACACACACACACACACACACAGACATACACGACTGCAAGACCCCCAGGGTACAAATGAGATAGGGGGTCTCCCTCTAATTGATGGAATCGCTAAGGACATTTCATGATAATTATTGCTGCCTAGAGTTTCAAGGAACCATCCCAGAGCCCTGTCACCTCTATCCCCGTCCTAATTATTTTAAAGTTAGGGGGCTCTGAATCAGGACAAACCGCGATCCTATTTCTCTTTTAATGATTTTGCATAATTAAGGCTCTCGTGGGCCTAGCTGGTTCCCTGACAACCACAGTGTCACTGCTTGGTGTCTCATGGTGTCACTGCTGTTACACACGGGGGACAGGTGGGAAGCCCCCCGCCCCCAGTCGCCAAAGTGAAGTACAAGGGCCCCAGGGAGCCCAGCCAAGGCCCTGAAGTATCTGTGCATCAAGGAAACGGAAGCGAAGCCAGAGGCCGCTGCCAGCATTCCTCTCCAGCCCCACACACAACACTGAGGGCGTCCCTCTTTGCTTAAAACCCTGCATGGCTCCCAGCGCCCACAGGATCGGGGTCCAGGATCCCACACATGTGTGACAAGCTCCCTAATCAGGCCCCAACCGGCCTGCTGCTCCAGCCTCACAGACACAAAGTCAGCTTCCTGCAGCCACACGCTAACCCCCTTTCCCAACAGGGCCCCAGAGCCTCGAGTAGCGGGAGGCAAGCAAGCCCCCTGGGACACCACCACATTGGACAGCTCCCAGGGTCACCTTAAATGAATGCCCCCTGTAATGTGTCCTAGGCACCTTGCTTGCCTTATCCTAGCCCTTACCCTGCCACGTACCAGGCAGTGGAGCGGAGCAAAGCTTTGTGTGACCCCGGGCCAGCTCCTTAACCTCTCTGAATGCCAGTTCCCTCACCTGGAGAACAGAATGATGGGACCGCCAAAGGTAATACCAGGAAGCACCAGCCAAGTGACGGACTGGCAGCGGCTGCTCAATAAAACTGGGTTAACTATTTTTATAGTTATTTTTTTCACATTGTTTTCTCTCCCTGAAATTTCCTTTCCCATTTGTAGCCCCTGTCTTTCCTACCAACTCCTATACATCCTTCCAAACCCCAACTCAAACGCCCAGCTCTCTGTGCATCTTGACCCAGATGCTCCAAAGAAATCAAATGCTCACCCCTGTTGCCCTCACACCCCAGGGTGCCCTCTTGTCTGGCCCCAGCAGGGGTGTGTGGTCATCTCATGAGGCTGGGAGCTCCCTGGGGACAGGGGTCTGGCCTCTGTCATTGATGATCTTGGCATCCCTGCCCAGCCTGGAGCCTGACTCAGGGCCCAGCCCTGCTCGCCGAGCAGACAGAACCTTCCAGTGCTGCCTGTTGATGCCACCTCTTCTCTGTGCCTTTCCTGACACATTTCATCCCCAACCTGATACAACTCCACTTAAGTTTCTAGGCCCAGCAGGGAGGCCTGTACCTGCTGGAAGTGGCCTCTGAGTGCCCTGGTTCTTGCTGTGTGTCCCTCTCAGTGGCACCTGCTATGTGATGTTAGTGTGCGGATGGTCTCCTCCGGGCAGGGGTGGGCAGGTGGGGGTTACACGGCACAGGCAGAGTTGATCAGATGGGTGGAGGGGCTCAGGGTTGGACAGGAGGACTTCATGGGCTTGAGTCACACATTCAGGGGCAGTTGTACAGGTCAGCGAGACCTTGGATGGAAACAGCTGGCCATGCGGAGGTTGGGGCCTGCAGTCCGTGGAGGCAGAGGACACAGAAGGACACGGGCCTGAAGGAGCAGATGGCGCCTGCCTGGTGGTTGTTCTTGGTTGCCCCAGCAACAGGTCCCTCCTCTGCTGATATTATATAAGGACACCCACTCGAATGGTGAGCACATGTGTCCAGGCTGCCCCCTCCGGCTCAAGCCGCCCAGACTAGCTTGCCTTGGGCAGAACCCTGAGAGGAGCTGGGGGGAGGCCTACGCAGCAGTAAAAGGAGCAGAGGGGGTGTGGGTCACAGGGTACCCTGGGTACCTGGCATCGCGTCACTCCCGCACGATGCCGCCGTTGGGGCAGGGGCCTCCTGCATGGCCGCCTTCCCACCCCTGGCCCCTGCCACCAGGAAGACTGAGGCTGTGCCGAGTGGGGGGGACACGGAGTCACTCAAGGAGGTGGGCGCAAGGAACACTCGCTAATGAAGAGTTGACAGTTGTCATTCTCTGCTTGTAACTGTCCCCTGCTCAGCACTGGCGGACAGACCCCACCAGACAAAATAAAATCCAACCCTGACTGTGGCCCCCGGCTGGGCACGACCTGCCCCCACCTCTTGGCCTTTGCCCCACTGCAGCCAGGCTCCCCTCACCTCTCTGCCCAGCTTTGCTCTTTTCCCTTCTTCAAGGACCAGAGACGCCTTCGCCAGCCACCTCAACCGCAGCAGAGCACCCGCGACGCCTCCAGACACCTCCCCCACTGAATGCTCCCATGGATCGATCAGTCCAAGTGCTCCATGAGGCAGCGCCTCCTCTCGGAGGCAGCCTGCCTGCAGCCACCCTCTCCTCTCCTGCTCGCCATTCCGATGCAGGACCTGATGACACCTGCACGCCTCCGCCTGCCCACGCGCTCACAGCATCAGCGTCTTCTGCCCGAGTGAACACGCTGACCTCCCAGCTGGCGCCCACTCCCACCCCCACCTCACGATTACTCTCCACTCAGCAGCCAGAGAGATCCGGTCCTGCCCAGAGCCCCCTCCGGCTCCCATCCTTTCGGAGTAAACCTGAAGCTCTCACTGTGGTCTGTACAGCCCTCTGGACGCCGCCCCCGCCCTGCACATTCACCTCTCTGACCTCCCCCCTGCTTTGCTCCAGCCACAGGGGCTTCAGGACCCAGCCACAGGGCCTTCACACCAGCTGTTCCTCTGTTGGGAGACTTTGCCCCAGCTTGACCCCTAAATATCTGGAGCCTTCCCAGCAGAGGGTGGCTGGGTCTGGTCTTTCCACCCCAGATCCATTACCAGGGGTGAGTCCTGGGGTTACCCCACCCATCCCCTTTAAATGAACCTGGCTCACCCACAATTCCCACAAGAGTTCTGTGAAAGCTAAGTGAGAAAGAGCACAGGTCGGTAGGCATGAGGCTACCGAAGCCTCTATCCTGGTTCTACCTAGCTGCGTGACCTTGGGAAAATGTCTTAACCTCTCTGTGGTAAGCCTCAATGTGGCAAACAGTCAATGGCATCTATTGTCTCACATGGCAAAAGACTTTGCAGATGTCATTAAGGATGTTGAGCTGCGGAGGTTGTCTTGGTTTCTCTGGTGGCCCCACTATAACCACAGAGGTTCCCCTGAGAGGGGAGTCGGAAGGCCAAGGGCAGGAGAGGAGATGGGGTGATGGAAGCAGAGGCTGCACTGCTGGACTTGGAAGGCAGAGGGCTGCAGGGGCCTCTAGAAGCTAGAAAAGAAAAGGAAACAGAGTCTCCCCCTGAAGCTTCCAGAGGGAACATAGCCTGGATTTTAGACCTCTGAGCGCCAGAGTTGTAAAAGAATAAATTTGTGTTGTTTTAAGCCCCTAAGAGCGTGGCAATTTATTACAGCAGCCACAGGAAACTAATACACTCAGTTTCCTGGTCTGTAAAATGAATAGCACGGTACCTCCATCGTAGGGTAGCTCTGAGGATAGAACGGGATGGAAACTTAGCACGACACCTGGTGTGCAGCAAGCACTCGTCAAATGCTAGCTGTGGTTATTTCACCCTGCACGGGACAGGACGCGGGAGGGGTCGCCCGAGGGGTAGCCATTATCATTACCACCTACTCTGAGAAATCTCTGTGCTCTGCTGCAGCCTTCCTTCTGGCAGACTCTGTGCTGTTAAAAGCAGAAATAACTGTCTATTTTGAGGACTCATGTACAGTCGTTTCCATGGTTACACTGTCATAATGACTAGCAGACAAAAGACCTCGGTTTCTACTGCTTTGGAGAAAGACAGGAAGCTGTGGGCCAGTGGCAGCCCCCGTGCGCCCCAGCTCTGCCCCTGATGGGGGCTTGGGGGGGCCACTGGTCTTCCGTGAGCCTCCGTTTCCTCATCTGTGCAACGGCAGCCATGAACATCCACATGTGATCCGGGACGCCCTTCACTCGGTGAACAGAAAACCATGATCTTACCTACTGGGAACGAGATGCTGTGACCGCCCATCTCTGGGGTGTCACTCTCAGCCAGTCTCTGAGTTTTGAGCAGTAACTGGATAAATGGATGGGAGTGAGATGTAAAGAACGAGTTCGAATCTCCAAGTCCCTTTTTTAAAAAGTCTAACTTGAATAACAGCCATTTGTGTTCTGATTACTAATATACCTACTCAGTGGCGATCGGCTGCTTGCTTGATTTCTCACGAAAACTAAGAACGAATGCAATCTGGACACAGGCTACAGAAGGACCGACGTTTCACCTACTCACCACTTACGGCAAATTAAATAGGAAAAGGAAACGGAAGCTGTGGAGGCACAGGAAGAGGCTGGTGAACGGACCCGTCACTGGCATTAAAGACAAAGTTCTATGCAGGACATCAAGTTTGAGAATGCAAAAAACTTTCAACATACAAAATTAACTCCACAGAAAACCTGTAAAAACAACAATAAAGGGTTGACACTTGGATGTTACAAAGACTCTGATACACTAACTGTTCCAGGAAAAGAGAGAAAAAGCGGCCCAGCTCATTTGACAAGAGTAGAAAAATCTTAATAAAACTGGGCAAAATGGGAGTAGAAGACAACTAGAGACCAACTTCGCCTATGAGCATTTATGCCAAAAGCATAATTTTTGCATTTATGCAAAACGTTCTCAGCAGGAGCCCTAGCCCAGGCATCACCTGGCACAGCTAAAGCCCGTGGTGGTCAGAACCCAAATGGCCCTTCCTTTATCTCTGCCAAAGCCTTCTGGAGAGAGGCGGACGCCGCCATCGCGCTGGGAGGTGGCGGGGAGGAAACAGAGTTGAGTTGAGTCATCGAAAATGAAGTTATGGTTCTTACAACTGAGTCTGTAGGCTGGTTCACACGCAGCTAGAACACCAGCAGGCGTATCCCAGGTCCACGCCCGGAATCTAAGCCGGTGTGCCTGCTCAGGAATGTACAGGTGACAGCTGCCCTGGTGGGTGCCGCTCTGTTTGTTCAGACCCCCTGGGGGTGTCACAGTTACAAAAGCTCAGGGGGCCTGTGACTTCCACCTCCAGCCCTCTGAAGAACATCATTCAAACATTGCGGGGTACCCAAAACTGTCTCTCTCCTCCCTAAACACCACCCTTCACACACACACACCGTTTTTCTTGATGCAATGCTGAAATCTGTAGCTAAAATACAAGTACACAGACACATGTAGAGGAGAAAGCAACAGCCGCTTCTCAGAGCTCACCACGAGGGACATTTTCTTGGTGTATTCTTTCCATTGCTTTCTGTTTCCATTTGGTGGGGGGAGAGGGGGGGAAGAAGTCATTCCATGCTTTTTTCTCCCCATGGGATCTTTTCGCATTTTCCCGTGTCATTAAAAACCTTCCAAATCAATATTTGAAATGACTGAACGATATCCCATTATACAGACAGCATCATCGTTTACTTGTTATTGGCTCTGCTGCCCATTCAGAATGCTTCTGAGCATCGGCCCCTAGAAACAAGGAGGTACCGTGATGCCTCATGGACTTCTTCCTGCCTCGGGGCTCACACATGGGGTCAGGGCTGGACCCAGCAGGAGAGACCAGACAGACGCCTCTCTTCCCCAATCTTATTCCGTGTCAGTCTGACCCAGAGCTGAACACGGGCAAACCTCGGGGTACCTGTGGCCTGAGCCACAGGCGGTGGGCATAAGGTGGTCAGTGGCAACGCCTTCTCGGAGGCTGTCTGCGTCCTATCCACAGAACCCGGGCATATGTACGTTATGCTGCGTGGCAAAGCGGGGACTAAGGTTGATGATCAGCTGACCTTCAGGTTAGGGGGCTTTGCCTGGACTATCAAGGTGGGCCCCACGTCCTCGCGAGCATCCTTAAAAGTGGAAGGGGGAGGCAGTGGAAGGGACTCAGTCAGTGTGATGCAGCATGAGAAACACCTGACCAGCCTCTGCTGGCATCGAAGGTGGAGGACGGGGCCACGGGCCAAGAAGCGCAGGCGGCCCCTAGAAGCTGGGAAAAGGCGAGGAAACAGACACCCCCCCCCCAGAGCCTCCAGACAGGAACCAGCCCTGCCGACACCCGTATCAGACTTCTGAGCTGCAGAACTGGCAGAGAATAAACCTGTGGGGTTTTACACCACGAAGCTGTGGCCCTTTGCTATGTCAGTGCTGGGACGCGGATGCAGCCCGGGCTGCTGTTGTGGGGCCGGCCATGCCCACACCCACGGCCTGCACGTCTGACTTGGCCCCGGGCTTCCCGTCCATCCACACACAGGTAACTCCCACACCTTGATCTCCAGGCTTCTGGCTGCCTTCTCAACACCCCTCCTTGAAGCCCAATACGCTCCATCTCGTGCTGCTGTGTCCCAAACTGGCCAGCTGGTCCCTGTCCCTCCTCCCAGCCGCCCCTCCCCTACTGTGCCCACCCCAGAGAAGGGCCCCACCTTCACCGTGAGGCACAAGCCAGACCTTGGAGTCACCCTGGTCCACATCGCTTGGCAAAGCTTGCCAGCTCCACCTTCAAAGAACACCCAGAATGGGGCCCGTCTCCCGACTCTGCCGTCCTACCCTGGGGTCCCCCGTTTCTTCTCTAATGAGACCCTGCAGGGGCTCCTCCCACCCCTGCCCCACACGACCCCTTGCAGTGTCTCCTGGTTTCCAAGACGCCTCTCATGACGTCACGCCCTTGCTCTCAATCAGCCAGTCTCTCACCTCATTTAGAATAAAACCCGGGCATGGGCACTTACGTTTGGAGTGCTTGTCACACAGGGCGGCCGCCCGCATGTCACAGAGACGCAGGGAGCCCTTGCTGCTGCTGTAGACGAAGAGGTTGCAGTGGTGCGGGTGGAACTCAGACGCCGTGATCACCTCCGTGAGGTCCTCCATGTTGGCTGGCTTGATGTCCACGATATCTGGCCCGGTCAAGGACGGGGTGGTGAAGGGAGGGCCCCCTCACTGCTCTGCCTGCCCGCGTCTCCCCGACACCTCTCCCGAGCCCCTGTCCACCCCACATCTGAGTTGCCTCTCCGTTCCTGAGGCTCCTGGACAAACATCCGCCCCAGAGGAGAGTCCCCAGACCGCAGACCTGCTGACTGCTCTTTCTGGGTGCCCACCCACTGTGCCCACAAGGCTGGACCTGCCAGCTCCCTCCTGACCTGTGCCCTCTCCCTAGACATGCCCATCGGCTGCCCGGCCCAGGTGGCAGGGCAACTTGTGAGGCCTCCCCCCTCCGCCCACTTTCCTTTTCCTAAAGGCGAGGAACAATTATTGAGTGCCTACAGCATGCTGGTCTGTGGGCACTTTGGATGAGCATCACTGTGTGAACTGTGTCCGGAGCTGGGTGTGCAGACATCTGTCGGCTCCCCTCCCGCCTCCAGGGCCCATTCCCCTTCTTCTGCCCACAGCAGCCAGACTCTCCTTTGGGGGAAAAGGTCCTCTGCCTCTCTGGGTTTTCAGCTCTGAGCTGTGCCTCCCACCCCCGACTCACAACCACCAAGTGGGATGAGCGCACAGGGTCAGCTGTGCCAGTGGAAGGGCCTCAGGACCTGGGAGACTGGGAATTCTGGGGTGCAGCTCCATCAACTCTGCCGGGCAGGGTGGAGTGGAGAGGAGGGGCTTGTATCTGCTCCTGAGACAAGGGGACCCTGGAGCCTGAGGTGGGGCAGACAGCACCAAAGACGGAGTGCAGAGATCTGGCAGTACCTTTTGATCCTGGATCAGGCTGCACCCGAAGCCATGCCCCCTGGACTGTTAAACATGGGAGCCAATAAATCCATTTTTTGTTTAGAGTCAAGAATTGTGTTGCTTGCAAAGGAAGTACCTCTGACTGATACACTGGAGCCCAGAGAGGGTAAGCAGCTTGTCCAGGGTGGCTCAGCAGTGATTGGTAAGGCTAGATTTCTGCCAGTTCCCATTGCCAACAGCAAGTCGGAGCCCCTTGGTGTAGCATTCAGGCCTGGCACCCCCCGGCGTCTCTCTCTACCTCTCCAGTTTCAGATCTGACTAGTGGGCTGTTCTGCCCTAGAGGCACTTTCCTCTCTGACAGTGACACCCTCCGTCTCAGGTCTTCCCGGCCCTGCACGGGGCTCTGACAGCCTGTTCCCTCTGAATGAAATGCCCTCTCCTCCCTCCGCATTTGCCTGTGGGCCCTGGAGTCAGAGTATGGAGTTCGAATCCCAGCTCAGCCAGCTCCTGGCTGTGTGATCGTGGGTGAGGTTCAGAGCTCTCCGTGCCTCGGCTTCCTCATCTATAAAATGGGTCAACAGCGCTAACCTCACAGGTTTGCTGTGAAGACCAGACAAGGCAAAGGCCTCGGCACGCTGCCTGACACAACTCAGAGCTTAATGAATGTCAGCTGCCATCATTATGTTTTATCTGGAAAACACTAATTGAAACTCTGAGACTCATCTGCTGTCAGCCCTCTGTCCTCCCCGCCTAGGCTGCTTCCTCTCTCAATAAAAAAGAGGTATTTTCTGCTTTCTGTAAACACGAGAGTTTATAAAATATCAGAAAAGATGATGAATCTGTGCAATTAGAAGCGTCGAGGAGGGTCTCTGTGCTCACACTCAAATCTCGTTCCTGGAAACACATCATCAAGCAGAAACTTGGAGTCACATAAAAATATAAAGAGACAGGGAAGGGGACTATGTCACCAGTGCCTGAAACGGTTTCCCTGGAAACTGTGGGTTTCTGGTACGATAAGAAGCAGAGATTAAATCACGCAAAATGAGACTAAAGGTTGAGAGAGAAAAAAACACAAGATTTCTGTGATGCGAATTCCATCAACATCAGCCTTGCAGCCTCATCCTCTGTGGGCTAAGCGCCTGCTGACAACTTTTCAGGAGGCTGTGCCTGCTTGAGACGACTTTAATTTCTTACTGAACTTAAAATGGTGTCTGGAGGACAGCGTGGTGGTTACTGAAATGTCACACCCGTCAGTGGGGCACCTGTTTGGTGTTCTGCCTGAAAGGGTCTGGGTAAACAGGGGTGAAGTTCTCTCTGCAGGACCCCAGACACAAGAGTCAAAGGAATCCTGATGGGGTCAGGGGTGCCCAGGCCTCAGGGAGCACAGGGCGGGTCCGAATCCCGGTTGTCTCCTTGTTAGGGGACACGAGCTTTCCCCGTTTCACACAGTTATAACCTCCTTGGAGAGGCAGGTAGGACTCAATGGGATAAAGTGAAGAGGTTTTGCCTGCAGGTAGTTCTCTGAACATTCCAGGGAGAGACTTATCCATCAGCCCGAGGGAACTCAGGGCAGCCAGCTGACTTGTTGCTTTCGCCAATGAATGAATGGAGGATGGAAGTGACAGGTGGCATGCGTCACTTTCAGGCTGAAGCTTTGAGAGTCAGCATGTGGTCTGTCATGACACCTTTCCCTCTGCAGTGAGACCCAAGCCTCAGGTGACCTGCAGTGGGCACAGAGCACAAGCAAGAAATGCTCGTGGGCTGTTGTAAGCCTCTGAGACTTTCTGATTATTTGTCATTGCAGCATAACCTAACCCTCCTGACTGATTCATTGTCCAAACACTTTCCTTTCCATCCTCAGAACATTCTAGAACATAGCTCAACAGAGAACGATCAGAGGTATGGTATCTGAACTCGCGGGCTCGTGGAGACTAAAGCTAGTACTTATAAACCATCTTTTTAGCCCTGAAATCTGTGGACCTTGGTGGCCAGAAAGAGAGTGGGGAGCTCAGAGCCCCATTTCCAGGACCCCACATCCTGGTCCCAGGCTCACTTGGGGACCAAGGCCAGGCAAACGGGTGTGGCCATTTCCTTCAGTTACAGAGTGTGCACTTCCTGTTTCATGCTTCCTACTTCCTGCTTCCGGTTACCCCATTATGCTTAAACTCTCCCGACGGCCTTGTGACAGTGGTGTTCAATTTCCTCCTGGCTTTGGCCTGCCTTCTCCAAACACTTGCTAAAAATCTGTATGAGGCCACGACGGCTTTTAAAAGTATGCAGGGCCCAATTCTGTCTGCAGCCCTCTACAGCTAACACGCCTGAACCACGGTGACACGGAGCTGGCCAAAGGGTGTAGCACATGATTCCAGGGCCCTGTGTGCAGGCTGGGGAGACAGAGTCTCCAAGGCCACCGACAGCCCAGGACCAAGGTTCTTACAGCCCAAGCATCATCCGGGGGCTCTCTCCTGCTGTGTCCAAAAACAAGGACTCTGGATACAGTGGGTGCCAGGAAAAGACAGCTGTGAAACACAGTGCCCTCATTTCCACGTGACTTTGGTGGAGGGAGACAAAACCAGTCATGGGCAACGTGTGTCTCTGAATCCCAGGGCCCAGAGCCACAGCTGGCACCTCTGGAGCAGCAGTGTCCTTCAGGGCATGGCCACCTAACCGGATCCATGGTCAGCTGGCCCTGGGATGGCCTCTCCAAGGCCTCTGGCTCAGCTCGCCAAGGACCTGCCCATGTCTGCTGCCTCGGGGGTGTGGAAGAAATTAGTGATTGAGTGGGGCTGTCCCTGTTGAGTCCCTTAGTCACATCACAAAGCAAGAACCCGAAGAAGGACTCCTGACAAGGGAAGTAGATGTGGAAAAAGCCTCCATAGCACAATTATGCCCCAAACAGACACCGGAAGCACTCCTCCTGGACTCACACCCACATGCCACATGCTCATGGACTTGAACACACTTGGTCCAACAGTGACCATACGTAGTGGCGTTGACTTTGGCAGTGACCAATGCTGGGTCAGAAGCTGGGGCCCTTGGCCTTGGTCTCAGCTCTCTCTGGAAGATTCAGTGCCACATGCAAAAATCATTTCCATTCCTAAAGCCTCAGTTTCCCCCATTTGCAAAATGAGGGGCTGGGTATGACCCTGGAGCACCCTTTCATTTCGAGGACTAATTCCCAGGTGGCTTCTCCCTGTTTCCTGATCAGCTGCATGAATCCACTTGTGGAACATTGCTTTCCAAGGTTCCTGGCAGGACTGACCTCCCTCGGGAACGAGCGTAATTAGTCTCATTTACAAGCCCCTCCCCTGGCAAAGCTGAATGAATTATTCATGCTCTATTTTCCAGCTAGTTGTACTCCAACTGTCTGACGGGCTTTTGTTAACTTCCAATTGCACTTTGGCAGCTAAGAATGATTTTCCTTATGAGGAAAGTTTGTCAGACACAGGTAGGCGGAGAGAGATGTGGGTCATGCTGAGGGCGCTCCAGTTCCACACCACTCGACCGAGCACAGTATTTGTCTCCAACGCGCTGGGTTGAGTGGTGGCCCCCCAAAATACATGTTCACATCCTAAACCCCCAGAGACTATGAATGCGACTTTATTTAGAAAAAGGGCTTTTGCAGATATAATCAAGCTAAGGACCTCAAGATGAGATCATCCTGGATTATGGTGGGCTCTAAATCTAATGACAAGTGTCCTTATAAGAGACACTCAGAGGAGAAGGCCATGTGACAACAGAGGCAGAGACTAGGGTGATGCAGGTACAAGGAGCGCCTGGGGCCACGAGGAGCTGGAAAGCGCAGGAAGGACCCTCCCCTGACGCCTCCAGAGGGAGCCCGGCCCTGCCCACACCTTGATCGTGGACTTCTGGCCTCCAGGGCTCTGAGAGAGCAGGTTTCTGCTGTTTTAAGCCGCCCAGTTTGTGGAAATTTGTTATGTTGGCCACAGGAAACTCAGACACTCTGGCTGCTTCTTGGGAGCTGGGGAGTAATGACATGGGCATCATGCTAGTGACGTGGACGTCTTTCTCTACATCCATCCCAGAGTGCTCCTTTCTCGATAATTCTGCTTTAGCACCCCCAGCCCTGGGACGCCAAGCCAGGAATCAGGGTAGCTTCCTGGTCCTTCCCACGCCCTGTTCCCACATGTGACAGCCTCCAAGTCCTGGGGCGCCTCTGCCTCAAGATCTCTCTGTTCTGTCCCTCAGCCCCGGGTATCCCTGCCTC